GGATTTTTAATATTTGATAATATTAATTTGGCCGGTAATGTATTCCTGCACATGTGAAATACCCTTCTTATAGATTTCAGACAAATTTTCTCCATAAATCTTTGTGATTTCTTTATCAATCTATATGAAAAGTAGATATAAAAAATTGGATAATTAATTAAAAAAGTATTTCAACAGTTTATGAGCAAAATTCTTTAAAATTCACCTATACTTTTGTATTCGAAATATTAATTTATTTAATAATATTTATAAAAAAAATTTTAGGAATAATTTTACACAAAGATATTATAAATTGAATTTGAATGATTAGACCTCGTTTATATAACTTTAACTTTATTGACGTAAAATGATAAACATTTATATTATTCGAATTAATATTTTATAATATATATGTTAGCGTCATTTTGTTTTTCCCGGCAAAGTGTTATTTTTTATAACTTTAAATCATTTCGATAAATTATTTTATAATGTATCAAAAACTATGATTGTATAATAAAAATTTTATTTATCCAAATCCCTGTGCATCCATCAACTCTATATATGTAGGAATGCATTTCCGGTCAAATCAGATGTTTACAAAAATGATTCCCCAGTAATAAAATTGAGAGATTCCTAATTCCATATCCCAAATACGTAATTATGGTTCTCACAGAAAGGCCTTTTGTTTATTTTATATTATTATATAAATAAATTCAAAGAATAAATTATTATTTTTGTTTGTGAAGTATAAAAAAAATTTTTTTAACAAAAAAAGGTCTAACCAATCACAACGATGATTTGTGCATATGCATTTATATTCTTCGCAACAATTAGACGTATGGGCACAATAATCACGATGAATTTGACATTCTCTAGGAGGTCGAAAATATGATTGCTTCATAATTTTCCTTGAATATATATTAAAATAAGTTCCTTTTTTTAAAAATCACAATTAAAATATTCTGATTATATTTACAGCCATTTAGCGTAAAAATTATACTAAAGATTAGGGCGTAGTCTGGATTTTCCTTTATGATTAAAATATTTTTAGACAGCTCCACCCATAATCCATATATTTTAAAGGAAAGTGACGTGTTTTATTGCAGATTTTTGGTAGGGTTTTATTTTTTTGGGGAAAAAAATGTCATTTTGTTAGGTCTTTCATCTAACTTTATTTTTTTTAACATTTTGTCAAATTGAACTTTCTTAAATTCATGTTGTTTTCTTTTCAATAATTACCGTCCTTCATTCTGCTAGTTTAGATTGAAAAATGGCATAGGTTTCTTTTGAAAAAGTAACATTTGATTTCCAAAAATAACAATATATTCTGTGATTTAACAAAAAATAGACCTATATATTAGATAAAATAGTTTTAATGAAGTATATTAAATCAGGTAACAGTTAATGTTCACTATCATAATTTATTTATTTTGTTACCTTGGAAACTAACTTATAATCAGATGCCTCCTTCTGCGAATGAAGGTAGGAATAGGCGTAACCAACATCGAAAATGCTATTCTCGTAAAAATCATTTTAAAAAGCTAATAAAAAATATCTGCTCACACACACACACCCAGGTCCTGTCCCCCCCCCTCTCAAATAATGTATATGTTAGCGTCAATATGTTTTTTTCGGCAATTTGTTATTTTTCAACTTTAAATCATTTTTGAGCACGTTTTTAAAAATTCAAAAATCTGATCTTACCGGAAATGTATGCCATCATGTTTTGAATATCTACCCAATGAATTTCAAGCAATTTTTCCAGAACTTTTAAACTTGATATAATTTATATTAAATCTTCCATATATTTTTTATATAAATGGTATTCCAAACATGATGGAATATATTTCCGGTAAAATCAGATTTCTAAATTTCAAAAAAAACGCGCTCAAAAAATGATTTAAAGTTGTAAAAATAAAATTGCCAGAATTAGAACATGAACGCTAACATATACAATATATAACTATCAACACCAATTTGAAAGAAAAATAATCATAAAAGTTAGTAATTTTTTAAAATAAGGACTATAATTCAAACTTTTTGGAAAAAATAAACATTTTTATAAAAAAAAATGGTAAACTCAAAATCATTTTTATAAGCATATATAGCCATAGTCTACAAAAACAGACCTCAAGATCCCCAATAAAATTTAAACCCCCTCCTAATAGTGTTTTCCCTTATAGGAATCTCCTTTGCCTATTTTTTTACTATTTTGTATAAATAACATTGTTTCTTTTTCTAAAAAAAAATAAATACTGATTTTGTTTTGCGAGTCTCCTTGTCTTTAATTTAGAACCCAAATTATCATTGGCATACAAATGACATATCTCGTTTAACAGGATAACCATGTAAATGTTGAAAGAAAGTTGGCGTGAATATTTCATAATAAATAAGGGATATAATGACATATATAATTATTATTATGACGTATCTCGTTCATTAGGATAGCCAAGAAAATGTTGATAAGTTGACATTAATATTTCATTATAAAAAAGGTATATAATGACATTGTATAATTAACTAAACATGACATATCTAGTTCGTTAGAATAACCAAGAAAATGTCGATAGTAAGTTGACATGGATATTCATTATAAATAAGTTATATAATGACAGTATAATTAATTATTATTATTCTCTAAATTTAAAAAACGAAAAATTCTAATTTAAAAAGGGATCGAAGTCAGTTAAATTAAACAAAAACAAAAAGAGAATTCTATATATTTAGGTTCCTAAATTTATATTACATTATATTATAACTATTAATTTTTGAAAGAGTTTTAAATCAGGGATCCTATCCGTAAATCGCAGCGGACCCGGTTTGAGTTCAGATGAAAATAACGGTTTCGATGTTCGTGTTATAGAAAATAAAATCTCTTAGGTGTAGTAATAATACTGTATATATAAATGGCCTTTTATTTATATTATTATTATATTTATCTTTGTGGACACTGTTTGCGGGTATAAGTTACCATAATACAGTGGCGTAGCTAGAAATTTTCCTTAGAGGGGGTTTATACATATAAAAGCTGGGGGGCTTCGCCTCCCAGACCCCCTTTAACGGGCCTTCGGCCGGGTTTATCTTACAAATCATAACCATATCTTCTATAATATATAATAAATATATTTTTTAAATGCATCAATAATATGTTATTATAATTTAGTAGATTATTCTCAATAACTTTATAATAATACTATCCAGAATAATTTCAATAGTAATATAATATCCTTCCACAAACATCAAAACCAGAAAAATATAATTCATATAAAATCACTTTTAAGTCTTTTGAACGTATAATCTCAAAAAAAAATTTGCTCTGGGAGGGGTCCAAACCCGAAAACCACCCCCGTAGCTACGCCACTGCCATAATATAATGAAAAGTATATATATTAACTTTCTTTTTTTTTAAATAATAAAGATTCAATATATATATATGAGTGTGAAATATTCAATTTATACCATTTACTTTACATATAAATATCGCGTTATAGTTGTACCGAGTTAATACCTAACTTAAATTACAACATTAGATAGATTTCTTCTAATTTTTCCCCGCTAAAAATGTTATATCTATTTAAATATTATGCTAGAGGTTTAAATGACTTGTTAAACGACTAAAACACAACTCAAGGCGAGATATTTGTCGAAAAGTCGACTCCGACTCCTTGCGACTAAATTATACAACTTTTTTGTGCAAATTTTTAATTTTGGTAAAAAAAACTGATTTGGCTAGAAGGAATCATAGCACATCATGTATAAAGTGTGCTAATTTCATATAATATAGACATAACATTTTGTTAACTTCTCTTTAATATTTTATATATGAAAAATTTAAATATAAATTAATTATTGTTTCAAAAGTTTATGGCAAAATTGTGTAATATTCACGAGGTAGGTATTCATGATAATAGGTCAACTGAAGAATTTTCAACAAATTTTTTAATTAGATGAGTATATTTTAAAATAAAACAAGTATCGTATGTGATATTTTTTTTAAAAATATTTAATTATCTTATAAAACTCTCTTCAATCCTTAAATGACCTTCGTAGCTTTACTAAGAGAAAAATATAAACTAAATTATTGATTAGTCCTAAGAAATATTTTCAAGACAATTTGAATGTAACACTGTATGTTTCTTTTATAAATATAATTGCGATGTACGAGTCCTAAAGGTTTTGTATAGTGAAGTAACAAATGTCTCTATAGAAAAAATGTACAATATTGGTTTGTATAGCGCAGTAACAAAGGCTCATAAAGGAATATGTTGTACAATATTCTTTTATATACTGCAGTAACAAATGTCCCTGCTTGATAAAATTGTGCCTCCCAAACAATATTATTTTTCAAATTTAAATTTTATCTTTATGCAATATTACATATTAAATGTATAAATTTTAATTTTTTTTAAAAAAAGGGGATAATTAAATTAGTCGTTTAGAAACAATTTTTTATGTAAAATTTATTTCATTAATCACGATATAATAAATATGCTAGAATTATCTTCTTAATACCTATTCTAAAATTGAAATTAATACGTAATTTTGGTATACTCCAAATTAAATTGGTAATCTTCAATGAATCATTTTCTCCCAATTTCTTCTCTAGGTAAAAAAAATGCCTGTAATATAAAAAAATTGCACGATAAAATCGTGATTTAGAACATAGGTAAAAATTAATTAGGCCCTATCAGCGCTCGTATTATTTTTTGAAAATTAATTCTGTTTAGCTTAGGCTATTCAGACAGCTATGACACCCTATAAAAAACAAATCGTAATCGCCCAGTTTCAGATTGCATTAATTTTTTAAGTATACATAGAATTTAGTCGCAAATTCCTCTTCTCCCAGGTATTATAAAATTGGGGTTTTGCCCAAATTAATTGCAAGAAATTATATGATTTAAATAACCCTAATTATAATAAATAGAACAATTTAAAAATATTTTAGATTTAATGTTTGTTTTTCATAAACGCATGGTATATAATAATAATAGTATATTTAAAATATTTCTAAAAAATAAAATATGGAGGCATAAAAATACAATAAAATTAATACTGAAATATAAAATATAAATAGAATTATATATAATATATTTTTTAATTAATTTCATGGTAAAAAGTGAGAACGCATGATATGTAAAAATATAATATAGTATAATCATGATTCAAATAATTCATATGTGTACAAAAATTTTTTTTAAAGTTTGCACAAGGAAGCTTTATTTAACACTCTCTCCTTCTCTAAACTAATTGTGGTTCATTGATGAGTTGATCGCTAGCACTATTTTAAATTATTTAAAAATAAAATGTAAAAACGATAATAAATATAATATCTGAAATCATACAGTGGTGATTCTGAATCCCAACTTTAAACCATTCACCGATTAATCAGATATTTCAGTAAGTACAGAGTGCCTAACATTCTAACAATCCCCACGTAGTTTTCTTAGCCTACATTCATGCATTTAAAACACGCAAAATCCAATGAATTTTTAAGGCAAGTAAATTATTCGATTTTCACATTTATTTAATCCAATCATTTTTTTATATTTAAATATAATTTATTAGAAGCAAATAATATTTAATATTAATATCATAGGAAATATTGCATGTTTTAAATGCACGAAACAAATAAAACTTTATTAATTTCAGACAAGTTTGCCACACATTTTTTTATATAAAAATCAATAATACAAAAGAAAGTAAGATTATTTCCAAAGTTCGCGGCAAAATATTTTTAAATTTGCGTCCAAGTCAAGATTTCATTTTTAAAAAAATTAATTTATTATCAAAATTTACGAAATCGAGTTTTGACGCATAATGTATAAAATGCGAGAATCAATTTTTTTTTTAAAAAAATTTTTGTTTTGGATGCACCCTAACAGTTTAGTAGGGTACTACTCTGTGCAGTATGATGAGATTAATTTCCGGAAATTGTCCTCAGTAAATGGTTTTAAATTTAAAAGATTTTCAATAATTTTTATAAAAAAAAATAAATAAAATGGATACGTAACTTTACTTCATTTTTGCCGTTACCGAATTCCCGAGTATTAATCTCTTTAAATTTACGATTTACGGCATCATTTGGCTCCATGGAAACTCTTTGATACTTGACAGATGTTCGTTGTGGTTGTTCGGTGAGCAAGAGGATAGTATAAAGAATGGCGGATATAATGGATAAAATGGCACTCAGCCCGAAAGTCATATGGTAACTCTTAGTTATGTCTACCAAATATCCTAGTTAGAATAGGCGGAAAAAAAGAGATTAAAAATATAAAAAACTTTAAATCAGTGTTTGGGAACACCTGGATTAAACCCGGTTTCTTAATGCTCTGGTTTATATATACAAAGAAAATTATTTTTTTATAACAAATAATAATGATTCAAGGCAAATAAAGCCTGGCTCGAACTAAGCAAAATGTCTACCTTTTTGCAAAATAGGGCGCGAATTTGATTCGAAGCTTAACACATGTTTTATGTTGACAGGTAAAAATCAAGTTCATTTCGCTTAGTTTAATCCTAGTCTAAGAGGCGTGAATATAAAATCATTAAGATTATTTTAATAAAAAAATTATATTTCAAAAAAATAATACCTATTTGAAATAATGAACGTTTAAAATATTTTATTTTACAAACGATATAAAAATAGACTACGGAGACTAAATGAGGGAAGTAGCACAAAAAAATGTCAATCTAAACCAGAGAGGTACCAATACCAAGGCCAATAATTTACAACGTTAAAGAGTACCAAGAGCTGAAATCAAGACAATTTACTCTTTGAAAATAAATTTATATATATATTGAAAATCAAAATTAAATTTAATGATTTTAATCTAAAAACTAAAATCGGTTGTCGAATAATTTAAGAAACTTTTAGCTTAGATATATATAAAGAGGTGCTATATCGTCTTGGTTATGTATTTTTAATATAAATATAGGTATTTTCTTTTATAAATAATAAATTGCCTTGGTCTTAATTGAGGGGTATGTGTAAAAAAGAGAAGATATCGATACACCTCTGATTTAAACTATAATGGAAGTCTTGCAAAAGACATGCACGTTTTTGATTAATAAAACAGTAATTTTTTTAAATAATTTAAAAACCAAAATATTCACATTCGAAAAACAAAACATAAAAAAAACAACGAAAGACCACCTTGGAAACCTTAGTGAGAAAAGTCTAAGCTATAATTTCACACTTGGATTTTTTTCAAAAAAAACTTGGTTTGGGTTTGTCGCTCGATTCCTAAAAAATTGAAATATTTTTATTTGTATAATATTATACTAAACAAGATTAGTAAAATAAGTGAGTGATTTTAGGAGAGCTAAAGTCTGTACGAGCAAGATGAAAAAGAAATCTCTGTTAGTGTTGTCTTATTTTACACCAAAAAAATGATTGTAACCGTTTGTGGCTCAATTTTTTTCTTCCTAAAAAATGTTGGATTTTATAAAGTATTACTTAATCGATATAAAATCACTTTAAAAGTAATAACCCATCCCACCTAACTTAAATAATGGGTTGAAAAGAAGAAATGGAAAAAAGATTTATTTTCTTCTTTAAACCTCCAAATGGCGGACTAAGTAAGATGCCAACGCCTGATGCCATCATGGTGTATCCGTATACGTGAGGTAGATTTTCTAACCCAAAGAGATCCACGCAGACGGTCGGACCTAAGGCTAGTTTGATCCCGTAAGGGAATCCGAAGACAACAGCTATCACGCAAAGCAGTTCATACCTGGAGGAGGGAGTTTTCGATAATTTTTTTTAAAATATAGTGGCTTATTTAAAATGAATGTACCTGCGTGTGGCAATAAAAAGGGGTGTCGCTATGGCACCATGGGCTAAGGTGCAGGCTATGAATAGCCAGCTCTTTAGATAGGGATAATGTGGTTGAATGACTTCGTTCATTTCTGCAGAAGGTTTCGATAAAGAGCGTAAAGGATCGAAAGTATCTGACGAATTCCTGCCATCCTGCTCCTTTTTTCTATTACGAAACATCAAAAAGGCGTCTAAAAGAGCAGCAGATATATTTCCGGCCATAGCGCTAGTCATAATGATGGTAAAGAGGAAAGCGGCACGAAGCGGGGGCCGAATGCCTCGATCGGCTAGCAGGAAATCGAAGAGCAAGTGCATGACTATGAATACAGAAGCGGTCCAACAAGCCGACTGTGCCACAAAGAGAAGGAAGCGAGGAGAGCGCCACGTGGGAGAGAGTGTTGAGGGACCTGAAAATTGATATATTTATGTAATTGTGGCTCAGTATAAATTTTTAATAATTTATTTAATACTTAAGATTATAAGTTATCATTTCTTGATAAATAATAACGAGACGCAGTAACTCTAATGTGAGACACTATTAGTTAATATTTGCGAATGTAGGTTTTTGATTCGGATCGATGAGACTAGATAAATCAATGATCATATCACTAATGGTACACACGTAAAAAATATAAATAAACGATTTAAAAAATAATAATAGAAGAACGTACGATCTGATAATCATGCTCGTGTCCAAAATTAATCAATAATCTATAACATCCACTAAGAATATTAACAAAAATTTTCGTCGTAGATAAGTATCATTTTTATAAGGGTTCTCTTCAATAAAATATTGGCTATCAGACAATTGGCATATCAATATTATAAATAATATAACTAGTCTGATAAAATTTATTAGGCATATAAGATGGTTATGAATAATTTTTTCTTATGTAATATTTTTTTTTCACAGTTCAGAAAAAATATTTTGCAATCATTGCCACCCAATATTTTAAGCCCCGTCAGACCCGCGGGTCTGGCTTAAGGGGTAGGTTTAACATTTCTTTCTTCCATAAAAACCTTGGTTTAAGGCTTTTTTTAAAAAAATGGCTAAATCAAGATATCTCCATCTTTTTTGAATAATTTTCTAATAATGCTAATTTCAAAATATGTAACACTTAAGAGGGAATAGTGATATATATAAAATTTTTCTTTAATATGTTTAAAATAAATGGCCAAGGACCTGACAAAACTGCAGTGTGCGCTTGTACCATTTTTAAAGAAATCGGTAAAAAAAAAATTTTCTTAAGATTTCTCACCTCCCACGACAAAATTCTTTTTTATTATGCATTAATAGTCACTAAATCTATATTTGAAAATAAGCAGCTAAAAAAAGTCGTTATAAAATACCTGATATTATTTTAATAGATACACACCTCGTGTTATCAAAAAGCCCGATTCAGATTTTAGAAACGGCCCGATTAAGATTATAACCAAGATACCATCATGTAAGCCTAAAGATTTTCCACATAACTGACAGAAATACTTGATCTATTTGACAAATCTCGATGTTTATATAATATTAAAAAATCGACCCAAATCGGGTTTTTTAACAACACTAAAAAAGATACACCGCAAGGTATATAACGAATCGAAATATTAATAAAAAAAATAAAATAAATATGGAGAAAGTTTACCGACCCTTATAAATTTTCCTGAAAAAATTTTTCCCTTACTTTACATCTTTAGTAATAAATAGATTAGCATAAATTTAATTCATCTAACTGTTTTACTAATATGGTTGAAACTGATACTGAAAATGTCAGGTGCAAGTAGAAAACAAGAAACGACCGTGTTAGAAGATTAGAGTGTACTCGGTTCCAAACAAGAAAAAAATGGTGATGGTAAATAAACAAAGACGGCGGTTTATTGATTATCATTTTCTTTTCAGCTAAACCGTAAATGTTTTTTAATATAAAAGTTGGTTGTGTAAAATACTTATTGTGCCCGTGTGGTCATCCTTGACTTCTCCTTGACCATCGGTAACATCTAATGACGACGGTTTCATCTCCTCTACAATTGTATTACTCACTCCTTTTGGCACTATAGTTATATCTGTCCCATTCGCTTCACTCGAAATTCCATTAAGCGTCTTAAGCTCTTTCACGTCGCGAGTGCCTATTTTATCGTACGATTTGGTAGGGGCTATCCACAAAAACTTTTTCCGGGACGGAGGTTTGGGCTTTTAAAGGATATGCGCAGAAGTTAAATATTTAACATCGAAGCATTACAAATCATAATTAAGCATAAATTATATTAGTTTTAATGTTATTAACCCTTAAAAGGATTTGTGGGGTCAGGCAAAACCTCCTGAAATTTTAAAATTGCTATTATATAAAAAAATATTGATTTAAGCCTTTTTTTTGGTAGCCTTCTATTTTATCCTAAACCATGTTTTTACAAAGTTTAATATTTTTTTATTGAATGATGTTTTAAGATATAAAAACTTCTTTGGAGATAAAAACCGATATTTTAACTCTTATAATTTTTTAAAAAAAGACAAGGTTATATTTGAAAAACAAATTTATACTAAAATTTAAATATTAATTAATAAATATATTTTAATTGCACGTTATAAATATTATAAAAAAATTTTAATATGAAATTCATAGTATTTAGCAGTTTGTTAAAAAAAATTAGTAACAACGTGGTTGAATGGTAAATACGTCGTATAACGCGAATTTTATATACGGGAGATAAGCCAAGTTATAATTGCGGAGTACATGCAGTCTTGAAAAGATTTTATATTCTTTATTTTTTATGGCTTTTTACGTGAAACATAAGGAAATGATGTTTGTAATCCTCATGAAATAATGAAATGTGAATAACATAAATGTTAGCTTTGAATTAGGCAAAAATTTGCATTTGAGTCTAATAAAGAATATATGCGTCTCAGAAAAAGAGACCAAGAATGATGACTGATGAATCATGCGGTATTGATTCTCATTCTAGTGAAAATAAATTAGCACAATGGGGTTCCGATATTCTAAAGGAAGCGAGATATATGTTGAGTGGGGGGGGGGGGGGTCGTGATAATTTACAATACCTTCCTGAAATATTTAACCCCATTTTCTTGTTAAAAACTTTTACCTTTATGGTTTGCCTAATTAAATATAGGTATCTGAATGCTAATCTTGGCATCTAGTGCTTGGTTGGGAGAGTAAATTCAATCATATAAAAAATAAAATTTTTGCTAACAAAAAGCGTCCCATTATATTAGACGATTTTCTATCTCATCGTATTACCTCTATTAATGCTAAAATGAAATAAGCAGACGCTGCAGCTAATGTAGGATTGCAAAGATTTTCAATCATCTATTATTACATCATTGACCATATTGTATAAGAATTCACACATAATCCTAAAGGTAGAAAATGTTTATTATTGTTTTTTTTTAAAATAGAAATTATCAACAACCCCATCAGAATGTTTCATAAAAAGGCATGTTTCAAAAGCCTTCTAATAACCGGTAGTATTATCCTTTATAAATATAATCATTTTTATCTAAAACTTAAATGCCAGTTTAGACTTATCTTTAGCAACTGAAACTATTTTGGAATCTGTTTATATAAATTCCATAGAGGAAAGATGTAAGTGTTCAAATGTTATCATTTTATTTTTAAAATTTCATATATTTAAGGCTTATTTAACGAAAGTGATGATTTATTGATAGTTTCAGGCAAAACAGCAACTTCTAACTCGGTAATATAGATATTTAGTTATTTAAATATTTATATATCACCTACTAAACAAATATCAAGTGCTTTCCAAATAGCCTGTTATTGGACCCTATAAGAGTATAGGTACTACATGATACTAATATATTTTATTTACATTTATTAAATATAATTTCGTATCTTCTAAAATTAGAACTAAATCCCTAGCATCTATACATTAATAGAGAGGAAGGCTATTGAAAATTGGCAAGTTCATGTAAATACATATCGGGGTAGAAACTATATTGATCCTAATATAGATTGGTATTGTGATTCAAAAAATGACCACTACCCAATTAGACTTATTAAAACGGAAATTTCTATGGATCTATTAGTTTTGGAAGGAAAAAATACACTGCAACAAATATATGTCATAAAAGCTTTGGTTCAAATCTTTACATCAGCAATAATAGATAGCCTCCATTGTAAAAATTATTCAACTCTGATTTTCCCTTTTTTTAAACAAATATAGAGTATTCATTCCTAATTGGTATAAGCATCGTGTACAAATTTTAAGCCAATTATTCGAATCTAGACTCTTACCAAATAATATGTCATATAGCAGCTGAATCTAACATGTACTCACTAATTAATAAAATTATTTCCTTCGGAATTTAATTTAACAAAAGAAAGTGTAATGTGTCCAAAAAAAATATCACTCTACAAAGACCGGTTTTATATTTTTAGCATTGCAGATATAGCTGATATGGTTGTTTATATAGCAAACACTATGGATAGAGGCCTATGCAATCAAATAGTTTCAAATATATTACGCAAATTAAAATTATCGTCTATTTTTACTTTTAAATAGTTATATAATATTTTATTGGAAAAATCACATTAAAACATGGCAATATACATTAATTAGCCCCAACTCATTATATCGAGATAGGAAAAAAGGTGTAATAACGTATGAAGACAATGAACAGTTATTCTAACATTTTTTATTTAAAAAAAAAATAAACCAGCATTTTCTTAACATTGGTGCCGAATTGAGACTGGTAAAAAACCCAAAACCTCTTTAGATGCTTCTGTCTAAAAATTCAATTTTAAATTTATATCTTTTTTTAAGGCTTTTTCGAAGGTGTTGATTAGGAAAGGTAATCCGTGAATATCTCAAAAACGAGAATGGTACAAATAAAGTTTAAAACGGTACATATGAATACAAGTCAATCCGGTTTTAAAAATTTAGAAATTTGCGTGGCCAACGTTATATTACGAATTTAATGTTTGATTTCAGGAAAAAAAGATTAGCACCAATCGAGTTTAAAAAGGTTCAAATGGACTCCGTTTTAAAAATTTAAAGAATGTGAAGATTGATGGGCTAACTAATCAAATATATTTTTAATTTAAAGTTAGACTTTAGGAAAAAAACTAATGATAAAAAAGCACCATTAGAAAGGAGAAGAAGTTCACTACCATTTTCAATTTTAAAAAAACTTTTTAGCGCCAAAATTTTAAATGTCCATATCTAGAAAATGGTACAAAAAATCATTCTATATCTATCCATACATTTTTTTATTTGTAAATTTATTCTTTGAATTTCTCAAAAACGGTGATGGTACAAATCGAACTGAAAACGGTATAAAAATCTTCCATAGATAAACCCTCAAAAATCTAAAAATCAACTTCAGGGGTCTCTACAGGAGTACTTGGTGTAAGGGGCATTCCATGTTAAATCGATCACCCCGACTCCTTTTTCTGGAATTATCTATAAGATGAAAAAAAAACTGAGTAAGTCCTTTATTTTAGCTCGCTAGCACACCCGATTACCAAGATAAAGGACCACGGTAAAATAGTGACTATAATTTTTTTTTTAAATAAAAAGTTTTGTTGTTATATTCTTTACAAGTGCAACTAGTTATTTCAAACTAGCACAAACGGAAAAATTGCTTTGATTCTCGAAACTCTTTTTAATAAATTAAATTTTAAAATAAAGTATGGGTCGATCACCTATCGCTTTATTTATTCTTCGCGAAACTTTCTTGCAAAGGTTAAAACATTAAATAAGCTAACTACGGCTAAAATGCATTGGGTTGCTATTTTTATATGCTATATTATTTAAAAGTACCGCTTTGACAATTTTGTTATTAGAGAAGTCCCTAGAAGAAAATGGTAGGAAAAGGCAGCCGAAAACGGTCGTTTGAAACATGAGGGCCCCGAGGATAAGAAATGCTCCCTTAAATCCGTATTTAACGATGAGTTTATAAACAATGGGCGGCATTATAAGGGTACCCAGGCTACCTCCAGCCAAACTAACTCCTTGAGCAAAACTGCGTTGAGCGGGGCGTGTAAAATAAGCGCCGACGGCTACCACAGCAGGCACGTGCATACATCCATAACCGAATCCTTTTTTTCCGAGAGTAATCAAAGGAAACCATATTTAAAAAATAATATCAAAATTATAGATAATACTGATTAATTCATATAAAAAATTTTTTTAAACGTTATAAAGAGCTTTCCTTTTAAAATGAGTTCGGTTTTATGAAATATCGGTCGATCGGATATTTTTTTAAATATTGGTGCCTATTCATTCCCGGTTATTAATAATTGGTGCAACCATTACTAGAGGAAGTTTAATATATTTTATTTTTTATTTACCCACTAACAAGCCTATCGTTATGTACAAGAAGTATATAGAGTTGGCGAAAAAGGAAAGCGAGAGACCGAGTCCATTAATGATGCCTCCGGCGACAATCAATACTCTCCAATCGTATCGCTTCAAAAGTAAGCTCACTATGGGACCTTTTTTTAAATATATATATATATATATAAATATAGCTCGTGTTTTTAAACGACTCGATTTGAGCCGATTTTTAGAAACGGCTAATTAAATATTTTATCCATAAAAATAATATGCAAGCCTTGAGATTGATCGTAGATAGAAAAAAGGTTAGAACATTAGCCCCGAAACTCAATCAATATTTTTCTGGCTAAAATATTCAGTTAGGCGTTTTTAAAAATAGGTTCAAATGAGTTGTTTACCAACACTAAAGTTCTAACATAAACTTCCATAATATCAAAGTAGAATAAATAGTTGTTATAGAGAAAAATGGTAAATGGAGTGGTGGGATGGGGAATACAATTGGATAAATATTGGTTAAAAGATATAAAAATTTATTGATGATTTTTATTAATATTTTTTAAAAAATAAATTTTATTTTAATACGCATGAGCTTTATTTATTACCATTTTTTACCTAAATGCAATATTATTTATTATTATCATCATCTAAACACCTACATCTGAGGTATATTTACACAACTTCCAGTTAAATCGATTTTTTATACAATTTCCAGAAATTTAATAATTATCGTGTTATCATTTATATAAAATATAATGATAAACACTGGTAATCCGAAAACGAAATTGTAAAAGTAAATAACAATTATTTTTATAAAATAAATTTATAGGAGTTGTAATATCATTAAATTTAGCCCGTTCCTGAATGTGGTTCTCTGGAGCATAGCTTTGACTGGCATCCTTTTACTAATTTCTCCAAATTTAATATTTTTATTTAATATATTTAGTCTATGGTCAATTAAATTAATTTTAAAAAAGGGCGGGGGTAACTTTCATATGGCTCGTAATGTTACATTTCCCTCCATATTCTCCCCCCCCCCATGTTTAATAGTTATTTTAAAATCATATATTTTTTAAAAAAAATATTGATATTAAAATTTAGCTAATTATACAATTTGTTATTTGATAATAATGAGTGAGTCATGGCAGGGTATTTGGTCCGGACCAACACACGCGGACCGGGCTGAACGACGGTCCTCAAATAAATGATCGGTTCAGACAGTGATCCTAATTAAAAAACTTTCCCAGGACCTGGTTATTATTTTTTTGTTACTAAAAAAAAGTATTTTTTATTTGTTTAATTTGTCATATTGATTATTTTTTTAATAGAATTACGATTCGGAATTTCAGACGTCATTCAATAGTGGAGAGATGCCTCAAAAATGGATGTTTGGAAATGGTTTACAGCAAACTTAAATATAAACAAATGACTGCTGGACTGCAGTCCTAGAAAAAAAAGACCGGCACCTGTTAGTTTATCCGGACTAAGAGACTACAGAATCCTCTCTTGATGATTTGGAATTTACTGAGAGGCCATGGTTGGGCATATTTCCTATTTCCCCCCCTCAAAAAAACTAAATGTAATTCGAAATGAAAATTACAATTTATACATACCTACAAAAAAAAAATTCTTTTTTGGAATAAATTTCTCATTCTAAAAAAAATTATAAAACTGGGAAAAATTGATTATTTGAGAATTTATTCTGCAATTAAGAAAATTTGGGAAAAAAAATTTCATGATGAAAGGTTTTTTATTGGGTAAAAATTACAAAAGATTTATTTTGAATTTTTAAAGTAAAAAAAAAATCTTTCAGATCAATAAAGTTTTTATATTTTATTTTTGAAGAGCATTTCAAACTTCAAATAAAAGAGTGATCGTTTAAAATTAAGAAATTCATGATAACCATGAAATGAATTTCCAATCACTTATTTATACTAAGTTGTAAGTATTACAAATTGCGTCCATAAGAACATCTATCGGTGTTTTTCTTACGTAGTCATATGAGATGTAGAGATCAGATATACGATATGGGTTGTAAAATATATCTTGTTCGAATATACACAGATATATGATGAATGATCTCAAAAACACATTAAATTGTAAATGCTTTAGGTTAAATTCAGAAATGAAGCTGTTATGTCACCTGATATAATACGATTTTCTTAAGAAGAAATTTTATCATCATATTCAAATTGAATAACCCATAAGGCTGTTTTCCTAGCTATCAATACTAAGTACTGGAAATTGAAAGGAAGTTCATAGGATCATTTAATGGTGTCATTTTGGGTAGTTTCAAGCCAGGATCTATCCCTGTATATAATGAATGACCCAATTTGTAGTCATTATCCGATATTTCCCATATACAGTGTTTACAGGATAAGGTGACAGCCCAATTACCTCTGATATCAGCTCCGAATGTGTATAGATATGACAGATGGCTCATTGCGTAAAGGAAAATGAGTTAATAACACAGATTATAATTCAATCCACTTTTTGCGTATTTTGATGATGTATCGGATATTATCAAAAAATAGGAAGACAGTGTAGTATTACAGATTGCCATACAGTTCATGCGAATTGCAGGACAAGGCATACGATGAGTTATTGAGCCCGAGTACACGCTCCGACAAAGTTGTAACGCTGAATAAGGAATATCGGTTTTCTCTGACACCAACGTCATTAAAAATTGTTTTAATTTTAGGTCAGCTCTTATCCAATTAACCAACTCAAAATAGTTTTCAGATTAGATACCATATTCCCAACTTCCATTATTTGTAATGGTGCTCTCCTAGCTCGTTGTTTAGTTCGTGATCCAAAATATGGGTAAAACGGCCCTCTATAATAAGGTCTATTTTTTGGAAGTAGCCCGGCTGATACTGTAATCAATACTTGACTCCTTTGTCCTTTCTCTCCTCCACTTCTTAAGATCCTACTTCTTCCCCTTCTTCTCCAGCGCCACATCGAGACAAAATATCAGGTAAATACTTTTCCCTTCCCCGCCTATATATCATTTGCACATCAAAACTGCCTACCAGTAACAACTATCTTTGTAACCGCAGAGATAACATTACCTCTTTATTATCTTTCTTGAAGAGATGGACTAAGAAGGGTTTGTGATCCGTATAGATTATAAATCTACGACCAAAGTATTCTCGACACTTGGTTAGTCCAAAAATAACGGGCCTCTTGTTCAATTACGGAATTCCTTGTCTCCGCTGCTTTAAAAATTCTCGAGAAACAAAATAGGCCTTTCCAGCTTACATCGTATGCCTTTTCCTCCAATTAGCATGAACTGTATGGCAAACTGTAATACTACACTGTCTTCTTATTTTTTGATAATATCAGATACAGCATCAAAATACGCAAAAAGTGGATTGAATTATAATCTGTGTTTTCAACTCATTTTCCTTTACGCAATGAACAATCTGTCACATCTATACACATTCAGAGCTGATATCAGAGGTAATTGAGCTGTCACCTTATCTTGTAAACATTGTATATGGGAAATATCGGATAATGACTACAAATTGGGCCATTCATTATATACAGGAATAGATCTTAGCTTGAAACTACCCAAATTGACACCATTAAATGATCCTATTTGACTATCTACATCAGATGTTCCCATGAACTTCCTTTCAATTTCCAGTACTCAGTAATTGATAGCTAGGAAAACAGCCTTATGGGTTATTCAAATTGAATATGATGATAAAATTTCTTCTTTAGAAAATCGTATTATATCAGATGACATAACAGCTTTATTTCTGAATTTAACCGAATTAAAGCATTTACAGTTTAATGTGTTTTTGAGATCATTCATCATATATCTGTGTATATTTGAACATGATATATTTTACAACCCATATCGTATAACTGATCTCTACATCTCATATGACTACGTAAGAAAAACATCGATAGATGTTCTTATGGACACACTTTGTAAAATAAATTTAATATCATAAATTTTTATAACAATGACTAAACTACTAATATAATTTTTTATTACTAAAAAAAATAAAGAGGGCCAAGTTTGTATATGGTATCTAATCTATTAACCAAGACAGAACTTGAAGGATTAAATAATGAGTCAAAAACAGAGTTTGACAAAAAAAATTCATAAAATTTATGAGCAAAAATTCAGAATAACTGTATCTAGATATGAGGTCTGCAAGGCCTAACTGTTATTGTACAAATTGCCCAGACTAACAAATTTTTTATCAAGCCTGGCATAAAATTTAAAAAAAATATTGCCAAAGCCTGATCTGAAATTTTTTAAAAAATATTGCCTAAAGCCTGAACTGAAATTTTCTATAGAAAGATCTTTGATTTGTCTATCACCAAATAAAATGAAAATTTCAGATTAATACATGAACAAATAAAGGAAAAAATTCTGTAGTAATATATAATTAAATTTTGAGAACAAATGTTTTCAGTCAATTTTAAAACTTGGGTTGGTCCAAAATTTTTGTGATAATTTTCCCTTTTATATTGGCTACTATATTGGTGTAAGTTCTGATAGTCACTAATAAGTACAAGGCATATATTTTATTAGTGCCCAAATATTCAGACAACTTTAACAGAGATTATATAAAAATATTAAATTATTTATAATGCAAAATAAAAAAAATAACTATGGGACAAAAATGCTTAATTAGCTCCAAAAAATTTTTGTAAACCAACCATCCTTTCCGTTGATAAGTCCTACATGCCAGTAGCTCAAAATCTCTTTTCTTTGGTATCCAAACAATATCACTTTTATTAATTTTAAACATTTAATAGTTTGTTTCATGTCTATATAATCATAGACAATACTTTTATAATATTTAATTTTAAAAATTTATTATTGCTGATTATTAAAATAGAGGGTCTTATAAGATTTATTATATTCTTTGGGGGAATAACCCAAAATAATCTCTTTTCTAAAATTTAACATTTTATCAAAATATATTATTTATTTTTAAGTTTTATAAAATAATAAACCTGAAAAGTAAAATACTCCAGATTGTATACTATTAAACCAAGCTGTTGTAGCTCTAGTACTATGAAAATATTCCATAAGAACCCTAAAAAACACACTAAATGACATTCCAATTCCAAACAATATGAAGTGGTTTATCATCGCACAAATTAACACAACATACGACCATGATGAGTCTGGATCTGCTCGATATGAAATCTTTTTCATAATCTATTCATTCATTCATTAATAGTTTCTCGCTCTTTTAACAGGTGCAAAAAAATGAAATCAGAATATGAATGGAATAGCAAGTTTAAAAAGTTTTATATTTAATTACATGCTTTTTACTTCAATTTTATTTATGATTCTAGTCACCAACAATATTTATTTATTTAACATAGACATTTAAAATTATAATGAGCTCTTCACCCCCCTCCCCCAAAGTATGCGCTATGGAAAAAGCTTTTGCTTTTCCCAATTCTTTTTATCTTAATCTATGGACCTTTGAAGAACTGTCTAAAGACTCATGTTCTTAGATAGCTTTGTTGAGTATTTTGGCCGAAAACCCAGCAATGTTTGAGCCGAAATAAACTATCTTAAACCCAAAGCCAACCTATTTAGCCATAAATTAGACCCCACCTAATAGGCCTCCTGAGCCAACCCATCGGTTCGGCTCGCTTGGTCTGTTGGCTGGGTTAACTAAATCATTAAATTAAACTAGTTTGTCTTAATCTAGTTTAAAGTTTTTAATACTATAATGAGGTTCTAAAACCTTTGAGTCTGGTAATAAATTAGAACTGTAATTATATTTTATTCCACGAGGAAAAAATATATATGAAAATTTTTTAGGAATTTGTTTTAAGCCTAGCTAAAAGTTTTTGATAATAGAAAGATGTTTGTTTAAAACCTTTGGGTCAGGCGCGTAACCAATGGGGGGGGGGGGGGGAAATTCCCCCCCATCGCAAATTTGACTATTTTCATAAATATCATTTTAAGCTAATAAAAATTTTACCCCCACCCCCCACCCACCAATCAAAATTTTACAAATATTTGAATATCAATTTTCCAACATATTATTCAAAAATATTAATAAAATGGAAAAATATTTAGTCAAAGAGATTGAAATCAAACGATAATTTATAAATAAGGCTGAGCATGAAAAAAAGTAATGTGTCATCAGCAGCTATATCATTATTGAATTCAATTGATCAATCAGAGTTTATCATTGCTGCTAGTTGCATCAATAAATTATTTTTAGCTCACTACTTTGTAGAAATTTACAAAAACCAAATTTAGATTTGGTTCAGGTTATTGATTTGGCGGAAAATATACATGAACAGGTAGATACGTTGAATCGAAGGCTAAATTTTATGATATAACACTAATTAAACCTCGTCTAGCACCTAGGCCATTATTGAGATGTAAATAATTATTGGCTCAACTGAAGAATATTATAAAATATCCATTTTCATCCCATTCTTAGATACTTTTTTATCGCAAATAAAAGTACGGGTTTTAGATAAAAAATAAGTCTTTAGCAATCTTCAAGTTTTATTGCCCAAAGATCCTTCTTCGCTTTCTAATGGCACTATTGGTATAATTAAATATTTAGAAAAATTTTATTCCTATGAGATTGATACTGAAATAAATTTAATCAGTGAATTCGAATTGTGGTATAAATATTTATTCGTTTAGCTATTTTTGCTATTGATGCGCTCAATCGGTGTAAAGAAACCTTAGCTCAATTTCCTAATATTTCGAAGTTGTTTTATATTCTTGCATGTTTGCCTATTACAACATGTACGAATGAAAGGATTTCCAACTTGAGTGAATCTCGGCTAAATGGGTTAGCTCTGTTAAATATACACAGAGATTTGGTTCCAACGACAAACGAAATAATTAAAAATCTTGTATTTGATAAAAAGTTAAAAAAACTTGTTAATTTAATTATTTTCTAGTCAATATTTTAAACACATTACTATTAGTATTTTCAATAAAAAAATTATATTCTACTTATATTGTATGAGAATTTAAGCTGAGGCTAGTTTTTAATGCAAATTTTATAAAAAAAATGACATTACACTTTATTTCAACTTTACATTTAAAAAAACTTTATTAAATATAATATACCTAACTTGAAATAATAAAAAAGAGGCTTGTAATATCCTATCCATAAGCACGAATTAGTAAATAATAGTTAAAAATAGAAATATAATTATTATTAAATTATCAATAATTTTATAGAATAGCTAAATAAAACCCGGCCTTCGGCCGGGGGAAAGCTGGCTGAAGGCCAGGTAAAAGGGGTTTGGGGGCGAAGCCCCCAAAAATTTTTTCCCCAGCTATAAGAAAATCTTGGATACGCCACTGCATTGGGTCTAGTAATAAATTTGCACTGCCATTATATTTTACTCCATGAGGAAAAATACAAAAAATTTTTTAAATTTGTTAAAGTCTAATTAAAAGTTTTTGATATTAAAAAGATGTACTAAAACATTTGGGTAGAATAATAAATTGGCATTGCCATTATATTTTATTTTATTCCACAAGGGATATAAAATTGAGATAAATTTTAATACTGTGTTTTAAGTCGAGATAAAGGTTATTGATAATTGAAAAGATGTTCTAAAACATTAGGGTTCATAAAGAAATTTCTAGTGCCATGATTTTTTAATCCACTTGTAAAATGTAGAGGATACTCTGCTTCCTATTTTCATGCTAAAGTTTTCATTGTCAATATCTTCCTTAACTACGAGTTAGAGCTATTTAATGCATCACTGATCAGCGAAGAGATCCTCGAGCGGGCTCTCATTTGGTCTTTTGGTTATATGTATAGTTAAGGCATTGATCTACACTAAATTTTCATCAGGTCCTATAGTACTAGAGTTATCAGGCGTAGGGAGAATGGATATAGTGCCCAGAAGTTCCACATTTTTGGCGGGGGACCTTGGCAGTTTTATTATTGTGGACTTGGAACGGAAAGTTCTGGGAATAGACTTTGAGTAAATTTATGGAACGGGAACGGAACGTGTGTTTCGGAACCTTCCTGTAACGTTCCTAAAAGTATATAAAAATTTCATAAACCACAAAGAACTAAATAATCATCTTTTTGAAATATATTGTTGTTTAGATATAATAATTTATATATTTAATGATTAAATAATGATTAATTAAAATGGGTAGGCTTTAAAAAAAAAATTTTTAAGAGCGTTTCGAAAACTGGAATGGAACAATTTTTTGACCGGAACCGAACAGGAATGCAAATATCCCTTTATCGGTCTCTGATTATGAAAAACTAAGATATAATTAAGTAGGAAAAGGTTTGACAATAATATATAAAAAGTAATACACAAATGAAAATTAATGAGAAATCTCTGAGTTTTCGCATTAGTTATTTTTAACAACTTTATTGTATATTTCAAACTTTTTCTAAATTTTCCTCAAATAATATCTTGAACCCTATATCTATATATATTTGGGTCAGCCGACATTTTTAATGCGATTTCTATTAAAAGCATACCTTATAGCTAATCAAGGAGTATCTGATTATCAACTCTTTCGAGAAGTCGTGTGAACAAATTACTTAGTATTTTTTATTATTCAAATCAGAGTTGAAAAATATCTTTAAAATACTTATGAAAATAATCTTCTTTTTTTTGACAGAGATTTCGATCATAATTTACCTAATAATGCCAAAATCTTTTATAAGTAAATCATTTGTTATTTTCATTCAGAAAAATATCTCTTCAAAGATCTTTAATAATTTAATTTCTTTCAAACTCAGATTCAAAATAACATTATAATAGAAAATGATATTTAAAAACAATTAAACAAAGGAGAGATTTGCTAGAAATATTATAATAGCATTAGATTTCATATGGACGTTTTTTATTGAATCAAACACTATTTAATATTTCGATAATTTGAAATAGCTAAGAATTAGTTATATATATATAAGATTGTACTATATTATCATGAATTCAGGGATATAACCCGAACCCGTTGATATTTATTGGGCCTAATCCAGTCAATGATATTTGCACCCAACACATCTGAACCTCTAAAAGAACTAATTTAAACTTTTTTATTGTTCAAAAATATTAAATATATCAATTTTGACAAGTCAGTTCGTTATCAATAATATTTTTAGATATTTATATATTTAGCTATTTAACAGTGCCAACTACAACTACCAGTATATTTAATTTATATGTTTGTAGCATAACCCTAAATATATTTTTTTAAATATTTTCCATGTAGCATATATTTTAATAAATAATCAAATATTTACATGCACAAACTACAAATATTACCTCATATTAGGTGAACCCTTCTTATTTATTTAATATTTACGAATATTATATATATACTTTTAGGTATATCCAAAAGTTTATTTACAGAATAAAGATAAATGGTGGCTCTTATTTTGTTATAAATATATTTATCAACAATTAACCTTTATTAGGAAGACGAATGTTTCTGATATTTCTTTATTTACGGTGACTAAGAGGAAATTATTTGTTTATTCACTAAACAAACCAGACTATTTTTAAAATGTAATTATAAAATTAAACAGATGCTGCGTTTAAATAATATTTAAAATTTTTAATATGAGATATTTAAATCAGGGAGTTTTGCAGTAAAGAGGTCTGTGTGTCTTGTGATTGTGAAATAAAATTGCGGGACCATCTTATGGGGGAGATCTGGCAACCCTGATAATGATTGCCACGGAAAATGTCCTAACTCTTATTGATTCCATATTTTATTTTGTTATCATTTTAAAATTATTGGTGATTAAGCATGGCTAGACTTGGTTTGAAAAATTTAACAAAAATCGAATCTTACTTATACAACTTTAAGAATCAATGACATCAGATTTTATTTAAAAAAAAAATTATATATAACATTTTGATAATATACGCGAAAATAGTAGTTATATAACATATAATATAATGCTTAAAATATTTTATATAGCGCATTTGCATTTGGTTTTTTATATATTTATTTGTAAAAATTTTAATCCCATTTGAAAAGTTATACAAATAATAAAATTCTTATATAAATATTTCCATAAGTGCATATTGCCATGAATGAATATATAATATAAGTTAATATTAAATATTGTTTTAATAAAAATTTATGGGAATGCAAACGAAAAATTACTGTGTATTGATAAGAATGTTTGATAAAAATGAAATATATAAAAAATATATATATTAATATAAAATTTAGTATAGCAAAATGGTGGATCAGTTACATATATTACAAACAAATAAAATGGTAAAGAATACGCACCAATGATTATTTCAACATCAACCATCAACTAAATTAATATACTTCTGACAGTAATTTAATCAGAAATGGACCAAAAAAAACATATGACGGATGCCAAAATAAAACGGGAAAAGTTATTTTAAAATATAATTTTAGCCGATATTTTTATATTTCGTAGGGAATAATTCAATTTTTGATATAAATGTTCGAAACTTTTTGATGGACATATCTTAATACAGTATTACTTACGAAGAGTATAAGGATGTGGCGGGATCCGATCTAACACGCTATAACAGCTGATAGATTTTTTAAATATATTTTATGAGATAAATTTTGTTTTATTAATATTAATTTTATTTTTTAAATTCTATTCATGATAATAATAATCTAAGAATTATTTATTTTAATAAAGAAAGATTAATCTCATTAAAATTTTTTAAATAATCGATCAGCTGTTAATCGTGTAGGATCAAATCCTACCATAAATCTAGCCTAAATCATTTTTTGGGGTATAGCCTTATTATAAATAAGAAAAAGGGGAAATTTTTTTTAAAAAAATTAAATAAGCATATAATATAATTTTACATATCTGAGATTTTTTTACAAAAAAAAAATTATTGCATGAATTAAAAAATAAATTTTTTTATATGGTGAAAATTTTAAAGACCCTCAAAAAATAATTAAATTTTAAAAAATTTAAATATATTTCTTTAGCATATTTATTGCTAAAGTAACCCGGGATATATAATTCAATTTTTATATAATATAATATGTGATCATTTTCACTTGTAAAAATAAAATAAAATAGATATTGTTTAACATTTTTATAATTACTAATATTTTATATAATTGGTCGCCCCAAAGGTTTATGGAATCGTAAATATCAATCATTAATTTCAAAAATATAATATATATATACTTGAGGCAAACACTTCAATTTTGGAATTCATAAATTTGAAAAGAAAGAAATAATAATTATAGATTTAATAAAATTTACAAAAGTTTGGACCTATTCCTGAGACAATAATCTTCGATTTCCTTCAAATACAGGGCCGTGTAAAAGTTCTCGTTATTTTTAGTCAGTTTAGTTACATCTTCTCCCGAGTCCTTAGGTTGGTTACTTGTGTGGTTTGATTTTTCTGTAATAGATTTGTTAGCATTATTATCATCGTATTTGTTAGTCGTCGGAGGGGGACTGGTAAAAAAATTGTAACGATTTTTAAAACTCCCTTTGAATTGTTTGAGGATGTTGGAAGCGAACGTGATATCGGGTTTGGCAGAATCTTGGCTCACGGGCTACAATGTAGGCGAGATATTTTATTTCAATTATAAAGACTAAAAATGGGGAAAAACCTCGAATAAGAATGGAGTTAGAACCTTATAATAATCTATTGCCTATATATAGATGATAAAGACAAGGCTTTTTTAGAACGGGAAAAGCTCAAGACAAAGCTATTCGAAATTTAGAATTTTTTTAAGACCGAATTTATTTGTAGACAGGAAAAAAATCAAAATAAATCAATTTTTACAAAAAAAACAGCTGATTACATTATAACTTTATTTTATTTCCTCCAAGTCACAAGATCAATCAAACTATTGTAAAGATGGTAGTAAAAAAAAATTGCTACCTTCACATTTTATTTTAATATTCATCATTAAATTATAAATAAATATTTTTAAAAAACCCTAAAATCTTTTTCGAGATAAGAATATTGGATACTCAAAATTTACCGTTTCCGTTTCATAAGGTTGAAAGGTATTATCTCCGTTCAACGGTGCCGCAGATAAAGGTGAGGATAAAATTTCAGTTATCGGCATCATATTTATATCATTATCATTCATCTTGTCGATGCAGATACCGGAAGTTGGGCTAGTTGAAGCCTCGTTGCCCATAGTATATCTCGCTTTGCTTTCCAAAGATAGCTTCTTCCGGAAGTGCATTTTTTTTTAAATTTAAATTAATTATTTAAAAAAACGGATTTCGAATAATTCGTTTGAATTTAATTTGAATTTTTTTTTAAATATTAACATTAAAAAAAATATATGCATAATTACTTAATAATTTTTTTTTAAAAAAGTTTTAATTATTTATATCGGAGACCTGCAGAGGTCAAAATTTTAAGCCCGACCTGATCCGGATTCGAAAACTCGGCCCAGAATTTTATTTTATTTCCTTTATTTTGAATAATTTTGACTGTTCTTTTTTTCTTTCCAAATTGTAATCAAAGAGAAATTGAAAATATGAGCAGTAAATGAATATTAAATCCATTTATATGATTTTCCAACAAACGATTAATGGATACTATTTAGATCAGAATTTGAAGAGAAAAAAAACCAATTTTTTTAAAAAAAATAATCTTTTATAAGGTAAGTTCTTTTGTAATTTTTATGCATTTAAATCTCTAAATTGACTAATTATGTTGCAATAATATAGACAAAATAAATACTCATAAAACTTTAAATTAAAATTCTGTCATGTAAAATTCTTTTGAATTTGATTTTAATAATTTATTTCAAAAGATTTTTACCTAGAGATACATACTAAACTATATTAGGATAACATTTAAGTCTTCTAATCTATTTAATTTTAAAATGAGATTAAGTGGTTTTCCAGTCTCACCTATATTGAGATGTGATGGTTTTTCATCTCAATATTAAAACTTAATTATATTATTTTTTATTATATATATTTAACTATTGAGAAAATGAGGTAAATTTGTGAATCACACCTCATAAGATATTAATTTAAAGTATTATGACCCGTTTTTCTTGATGGGCAAAATGAAAAGTATATAACTAAGGGTACCAGAGCTCCCATTAGTCGGCATTGATGAGCCCATCAAAAATGACGGAGAATGAGAATTTTCTTCTCACTCTTATGATAGTTGTTACCTGTTATTTGAAAATAATATCCAATTTTTATTCTTTATAACCCCCCCCCCTTCAGGCTAGTGTTGTTAAAAGGCTCGTTTTTCAATATTTTAGCCAGAAAAAATATATCATAAACCTAGATATTTCGATGATATATGTCTAGATCTTTGTTCCTTCTATGAGTAAAATCTTCTGGCTTGAGTAATATTTTTCTGGATGAAGAAAAAATCGGCTCAAAACGAGCCGTTTAACAACACTAGTTCAGGCCAGGTCCAATCCATTGAAACTGTGTAAATGCTATGATTTGAGTCAAAATATATTTAAACTTTTACTCGATACCCATATCAATATTTGTTAAAATATCACAGATCGCCTATGCCTAGAAATGTGCGCCGCCGGTCAAATGCGCCGCCGCCGATGATTTTGACCACGCCGACGCCGCGCGCCAAAAAATTGTCGGCGCTCAACATGCCGCCGCCTATGTAAAAATTCGGCGGCGTGGCGGCGTGATACATATTTTTTATTATTTATTTTATATATTATTTATGAATATAAGAAAAATATTAAATATTTTTTGAATTATTAAAAAATGCGATTTTATTTTTTAAAATTAATAAATATTATTTGCTATAAATTTGATTTGTAACAATCCTTATTCGCTCACTTTGGGCAGGTTTGTGACCAACGTGCTAGATAAAATAAGATTAGGACATTAAATTTGAAAAGGTAAATCTATATTTTATTCTTTTAATTTTTGATGCTTCAAATAATTTACAACTCGTTATATAAAATTTATTTTTTATCATAATAGGAAATTTTAATTAATGATTTTTATTTTGTTGCCATTATAATAACATATATAAAAATACCAGGACTAAAACAATTATAATTGATGCAGAATTGCAATATCCTGTAACAAAATATAGTATATCCTTCCTAGCAAAAGCCTTCTTTTGCATGGAAATATTTTGGATCCTTAATATTAAAAACTGACACAAATAATAAGAGAACCAGTGTTGCTACAGATAAAGTCTTTTGTAATATATGCTTGCAAATAGCACTTGATAAAGATGGTGAGGATGAAAATAATTCTTCATTTTCAGAGTAAATTTTTTGATTATTTTATAATTATTAGTAAATTTTTTAATTAGTTATCCAATCAAATCTTTTTCAAAAAATATCAGCACATCAAATATAATAAAACATTTACTTGACAAACATGATTTATCATGTAAAGAAGAAATATCTAAACAAAATTTAAAGTTATTTTTCAAACCCATTGTAAAAGATACAACTGACCCTATAAAAGATAAAAAATGGATTCTGGTAAGGAATTATGTTCTCATGTGTTGCAAGGATTTAATGCCATTCTCTTCTATAAATAATACTGAAATGCAAGATTTTCTAAAGGTTATTTGTAAAATCATTATAATTTTTTATAGGGCAATCTAAATTTTTATTTGTTAAGATATTTAATTATTTTATAACATCCCACATTTAGAATTTTTTATGGCATAATATTTTATTATTAACTTTTTATTATGTAGAAATATGGCATTATTTCAGATGCCAAAGAATTACCTGACAGAACTACACTTAGCCGGAGTGGATTAGATGATGTTTATTTATCAATGAAAGCATACATATGCCAACAAATTAATGTAGGTCCTAAATTTTGTGCTATAACTTTTGATATGTGGACAGACAAATATAGACGGCGAAATTATATAACCTTTACTTTTCACGAAATAGATAATAATTTTAATATTGTATTTTATACATTGGCGACACATCATGTCACCCAAAAACCTACCGCTGAAACTATTCTTTCCGAAATAGAAAAAGTTGAAAATAAATTTGATCTAGGGTCCAAGAAAATTCAAATGGTTACGGATGCAGGACCCAATGTAAAGAAAAGTGTTCGTCTAGGAGAATATGACCTTCATTTATGTTTGGGGCATGGATTATATAATCTAGTGACAGTCGATGGAATAAAAAAAGTTAATAAAATTGAAAATCTCATTTAAAAAAGTTAGAGAAATTATAGTTGCCTTAAGATTCAAAACAGCGGATTTTGAAAATATAAACGATATAGAAAATAGAAAATGTTTTGAATCGATATCATATACATCGGATATTTTAGATTTGAATAATAATGATCCTTTTTATGAAGATCGTTTGGGGTATGATGATGATAGTGAAAATCAAAAATCATATGAGAAAAAACATAAAACCTTAAAATTAAATGTGCCTACACGTTGGCATAGTATTTTAATAATGCTGGAAAGTGTGACTGGCAATAACAAAAATCCTATAAATATTCTATTAAATAGAATGGAGAAACCGGATCTCAAATTATTTAACTCCGATTGGGACTTGGTGTATGAACTTTTAAATTTTCTTAAAACCTTCAAACAAACTGTTGAATTTTTATCTGTCCAAAAAGGAGTTACTATAAATTTAGCCTTATTATTTCGTAGTGAAATTAAAAATCATTTAATTGTAAAAGAAAATGATAGTCCACCCATAGCATCCCTTAAACAAAATATGCTTACTAAATTTGATCATAGATTTCCAATAACCGATCTTCAGGTAGTATTTTAAAATACATAAATTATTTTTATACATTATTCTTTATTTATTTTTTTACTTAGGTGTTAGAGACTTTGGATCCTCGTTTTCAATCAATAAACATAGTAAATGAATATTTAAAGGAAAAAATATTACTCCGGTTGAATTTTTATGTCAACACGCTACCTCTCTACGGTCTTACACGGACGAATTAAACGAATGTAAAACGACTGGAAGTTGCTTCAAAACTCGATTATCTTAAGTCATTGGCTACGAAGCATTCATCTATTCAAAACAATAACCTGGAACAACAACACTATTTAACTAGTTTAGAAAAAGAGTGTTATTCATTATTTTCGCCTTATAATTTGGAGATAAAAGATATCTTAGATTTTTGGAAGATAAGAGCATTGGATCTTCCTAAACTTTCAATATTAGCTAGAAAGGTCCTGTGCGTTCCAGCTACAAGCACACCCAGCGAGCGTGTATTTTCTATAGCTGGGCTCACTCTGAACTCTAAAAGATCATTATTATGTCCTTTAAATCTTAATAAAATAATATTTATTCATGATAATTATAACTTAATAAAATCATTAAATTATAGTTATAAACATAATAAAGTATAAATTTTATTTTAAAAGTGTTTCCAATGAATTTATAAATTTACTTAAAAAAATTTAAGTTAGAAAAATATTTGACGCCGCCGCCGATTTTTGTGGCGGCGTCTAAATCGATTCGCCGCCGCCAGCCGATCATTTTAAAAAAAGAAACGCAGCCGCCGAAAATGCTGTCGGCGCACATGTCTACCTATGCCTAATATTTAATATTGAAAAAATTCCCAAGCAAGGTCCAAGGCCATAATTATTTGGAAAAAATTTCCCCAACCAAAGATTATAATAATTTTGGTAGTCGAGAACTGGAAAAATATGGGCCTTAGTTTTTTGATCAGGCCGAGCCCAGGCCTGCAATAAAAATTTATTTTAGGTCAATGTCTGATAAATAGTTAATAATAAAAAAAATTCCCAAGCGTCCAAGATGATAAAAATTTTAAAAATTTTCCCCAAGCCCAGCCCAATATAATTTATAAAAATATTTCCAAGCCTAGCCGACCCATTATAATTTTAAAAAAAATTTTCTCAAAACTGGCCAACCGACAATAATTTTGAATTTTTTTTCCCAAGCCTAGAGCTTCCAATAAAAAAATATAAATATGGATATAATTAAATTACTATATCAAAATATAGTTTTTTTTATATAAGAAGAAATGTATTACAAAATTTAAGATAGAAGGAGGCTGAGTTGGAAAGAATGTTTGCCTATGTAACGTAAAGTTTGGGGATCGAATCCCGTTGATGTAAAAAAAAAAATTTAACATTAAAGGTATATAGTCTCCTTCGATTTATTAACATTAAGATGATAGGAAAGTTGATAGAAAAAATAAAATTAACATTAAGATGGATGATAGGAAAATTGATAGAAAAAATAACATTAAGATTATACGAAAACGCTTTATTACTATATATATTATATATCGTTATATATATAAAAATTTAAAACAAACAACTGAATAAAAATTAAATTTAAAAAAAACAATTATGAGATCGGTATAATAACAATTATCGTTAAATTGTTTTTACTTATTATATTCAAGTAAGTTTTATATATTATTTGATATAAATCTACGATCTTTATACGATGTATGAAATAATTTAAATTTACCAACTTTTATTATAATTAGCGGCTATATTATTTTTATAAAAAAGGTTTGGTTTCACCATATACAATAATCATTACTTATAGTTGAATAAAATTAAATCTAAACCTCTCAATAGTATTTCTTATTCCAACGAAACTAATGATCTTAGATTCTCTGCAGAAAATATGATTTAATAATATTTACTCCGCAATGTGGCGCTTATTATTAATTAAAATTATTTCGATATAATATCTTTGTCACAATACATTTATAAACAATAAATCCTTTGGATCGATTTTGAAAATATTAAACATTTTAATTTATATTTTGATATTAAAAACCTCGAAATTTAGATATTATAACCAATCTATTTTACTGGTAAATTAATTTAAATAATGTAACCAGGGATTCAAACCTACAGAACCTGAACCGTTAAAAAATTTGTCACCCGAGCCTAAACCGAACTCTATCAATGCCTTTTACCGGTTTGAACTTTTTGACAATAGTAAATATTTTTAGACATTTTTGTATATTTCTACTTAGAATATAAAAGTGTTTTTCAGTCATAAAATTTATTCTTTTCCTTCCTTTAGATTTTTGACAGAAGAGAATCCTGAAAATATATTAACTGTATATGGCTCAATATTATTATTTATTTTTTTTCTTTACACGCGAAGGTTCAAACCGAACCAATATTATTATTTTTTTACAAATCGAACCAGAACCCTGAACCGATATTCGTTATGATTTGGATCTCAGAATATAAACTTATTTTAGTGGTAACGTAATTAAAAGTTATGCTATCGTTTAGCAAAGAATGACCCATTGCTTGAAGCGATATCGCGCTTACAATAAAAAGTTGTCTTATATTTGCTAAAATACTGATAATTTTGTTATTACACAAATTTTTTATTTTTTAAAAAAATGCCAGTCATTTCGAAATAACCTGGAACTCATTTGATTTTAGCTGATTCTCCCACTAATAAGTACTAGGGACCATGAAAAATTTTTTGAAAAAAGTTTTTTGGTATGGCCCGTAAAATATTTTTGTTTTATATATCCAGACCAGCTAACAATTATTTTTTTGGGAAAGAAAAGGATATAAATTAGCCTAATATCTAAATGTTCTTTAAAAATAATTGCGAAACTCAGGGCTGTTTCATAAGAATATTTTTGCAAAAGTTGCCTGACCCATATATCTTTTAGCCCCAGAGCTTTTAATAAGATAAGAATATCATAATAACAAGCAAAAATTTGGTATAGAAACAATAAATTCAATATTTACTGAGCTGTTTTCATTAGGACTCTTATTTTCATCGAAAGAACATTTCGCGTCACCGATCGTTAATATCTGCTTATCGTTAATCGAACTGGCGTCCCAATTTCCAGCTGTAGGATCATCAGTTGAATGGTTGTTATTTTGGATTTGTTGATTTTTGACAAACTCGTTCTTCGGATCACAAATGGGATTTTGATTGTTTTTTAGACCTAGTAATAATAATATATGGTTTATTTTTTAACCCACGAGTCACCAAAAATAACGATAATACCCTAGAGCAAGTAAGTTAGATAACAAGCCAATTTTATTCCAAATTCCTATTCATATCGCGAAAACATCAGGTCTTTATAATGTCCTCAAAATTTTTTAAAAGAAAATATGATAAAAAAAATTAAATATCAGTATTACAATCGTTATTGAAAAGAGCGAGATATAGTATGGATCTATTGTATTTCATGGCCTTGGCTAACGCCAAAACTCCGGCTAGGCTGATATCGGGATTAGATCTGAGGTCTAAATGACTTAATCCATTAACGGTCGTTTGTCTCGAGGAATTAAAGGGAATGTTATCATGGTGAACGCCTAATATTTCGGCTAGTGTTATAGCGGCTTAATATGTTGTATAATTAAATTTTAAAAAAATTAGAATAAATTATTGTTTTTAGTGGAGATAATTTAAAAATATATTCATTATAATAAATTTTTGATAAAATCAAGTATGTTCCATAGAATTTATTTTTAGCAAAATTTGATTATCATTTATTTGTTAATGTTTTTAAATTGCTAAAATTTAAAATGGAGGGGGGGGGGGTATATACTATATACCCGTCTGACCTAAAACTATTCATACATTATTTCCATTTCTCCCTATCTTAATAATTTTTATATTTCTTTAGAGTAAATATGTAAAAAGACAATACCGATATCATAACTACACCTTTATTCTAAAACATGTAAAGTTTCTCAAAATACTAAATAAACATCTATAATAAAATAAATAATAAATAAAACCTACAGATAAGCATGAAAAATTCAATTTAAATGCCTATGAAACATTTATAACAGAATTTCCCCTGGGAATTTAATAATAACTTAAACAACGTGTTGCCACTAGTGAAGGTCAACGGTGCGGTCCTATCGGTATTAAACCGGGACCGGACCGATCTTTTTGTTGAGGACCGTGGTCCGGACCAGTCTTTTATTAATATTTAAGTTTACTTTACTATTCAATTAATATAATTTTTTTGTATATTTTATTTTATGATATTTTTCTAGAGGAGTTATTTTAGATTTTGTTAACTCCTATTTAATGATGAATACAATTTATGAGGTGTTTACATTTTTATCCAATTATTTTTAAAAAATATTTAATTTTTAGAACATGGATGCTATAGAAGAAGTACTTTTTTTGAATTACAAACAATTTAAAGGGGTTTACTGAGTGTGAAAAAGAAGACCTTAAAGAGGCTGTAAATTTTCTAAGGCCCTTCTATAAAACCACACTTGATTTATCAGGATCCAAATATCCTACAGTTGGGATTTCCATGTAATATATGGAGAATATAAATAATGAAATTTTAAATAATATAAAAAAGGATAATAACAATACAAGAAAAGAAATTCTTAATAACATGCTGGTTAAAATGCAGAAATATCTCAAAGAATTATTTTGCTATGAATCATATGTCTCAACATTATTGGATCCGAGATTAAAACAAGTTTACATGCCTAATACTCTTAATAGAATTGAGTATATGACCAAAAAAAAATACAGGAATAATGGATTCTCAGGTATATTTTTAATATTTATTTATTAAATCCTAATTTTCAAACATTTGTGCCAGGAGGAAATCAATGAATTTAGTTTTTTAGAAAGAATTTTATTCCAAAAAAGAAATTCAGAAGGGGATTATATATCGGCAGAAATCATTGAAGAAAATATATCAGAACTTCACACCTATTTGAATAAACCTCTTGTTTCATTAAAGGATGACATATTAGTATGGTGGAAAGCCAATAGTGAAAGGTCTTTTATGTTTTTTAAATAGTCAATATAGTTTATTATATAGATTTCCAGTCTTCTCATTACAGCTAGAAATTTTTTAGCAATTCAGGCAACATCTGTCCCCTGTGAACAAATATTTTCGAAAGCAGGAGATCTTGTCACTAAAAAAAGGAAAAGGCTTTCAAACTAAACAATACAAGCTTTGATGTGTATGGGCTCTTGGTTAAAGAATGGAATAGATCTACCGCCTCCATTAAGTCCCTCTTCTAATTCCTTCCAAGGAAGTTCTACAAACAAAGACATTAGCATTTATTTAAATTAAATATTTGTATTAATTATTATATTATTCATAATTAATTTTATATTGTTTATATAATACTCTTATATTTAATAAAATGATAAAACAAATTAGACCGGTCTTTTTATTTAGGACCACGGTCTGGATCGATCTTTTTTAAGGACCGTGGTCCGGTCCGGTCCGGTCCGAGGGTATCGGTCCAGTCCGGGCCAAAGACCGGACCGTGACCTTCACTAGTTGCCACTGTCAAGATTGTTTTAATATCGAACTTGTATAACTGACAATTCGCAATATTCCTCCACATTTATAATTATGCTTCATGTTCTTTCGTATACGGATTAGGATTATGATAATTATATTTTATCCCTTTCAATATTTCGTAATTCTACTACTAGAGGGGGGGGGGTGTAGGGTCAGACCAAGGTCCATTTTAAAAATAAGAATTTCAGATCTTATCTCCGGCCCCAATGGTCGGGCAAAAAGAATGAAATGATAGCGATAACTAAAAGTTGGCTTTTTTTAAAAAAATAGGAAAATCTGGAGAAAAAAAAATTTGGGGTTTCGTTGTTATTATAATATTATTTATTAGGAAATGAATGATAAATCACATGCAGAATTATTTGGAGGTCGCGAAGAACGAGAACATCGTTGCACGTTTTTTAGAAGAAAAAAAATATATGGTTATCTTCAAAATTTACAGGAGACATTTAGTTTAGTATGGCTAATCGTTCAAAAGACCTGATAAATGGAGTGGAAGTTAAGGGGTAGAGGTTAAGATAGGGGAAGGTGTAAAATCGATTATCTAAACATAAGGCATATGAAACAGTTGAGGAAAAAAAAGGGAATATGAGAGCTTTGCCAGATGAAAAGACATTATTTTATAAATTATTAAGCAAAAATTTATAAATAATAATAATGATCTCTGTTAAAAAAAAGAATGCCCGCATTTCTGATTTGGTAGTGATTTTATATAGAAGCTATAAAGGCCAACGGCTCTACAGAAGTGCGTTACGTGGTACGAGTTCCCGTATATGCACGGAAGAGCAGTTCGGATAAATGACGGCAACTCCTACACTATTGGTAGTAGAAAAGCGAAAAAAATAAATAAACCGAACCCTTGTGCGAGAAGTCAAAAATAATGCCACCAGGATAGGATAAATAATTTTTTATTAACAATAATAAAAGATATGACTACGATTTTACCAGATGGGACTGATCTAGGTAAGATGGTCAGATTAAAGGAGGTGGTTATCTTTGAAGGTTTCGTCATGTAGAGCCCGTATCGGGCCCAATTGACCTACGACTTTGTGTCGGTTAGGTTTTCTAATTCCACTAAACTAAATCTAAAATTGAGCCTTCCAGGAAAAAAAAAAGGTTTAAATTAAAAATATTGTCTCTCAATTTGTGGATTATTTATATCATGGACATTTATTATTCTGTGTCAAAATTCAAGTAGAACAATATCATTTAAATAATTATTTACTATTTGTTTCACCAAATAATCTATGTCTCATTCATAGGTATATATATGCAGACCAATATGATTTATATAAATATTATTTGATATTTGTAGTAAAGAAATTCGGCATATTATCTAGTGAAGGTCACGGTCCGGTCTTTGGCCCGGACTGGACCGATACCCTCGGACCGGACCGGACCACGGTCCTTAAAAAAAGATCGATCCAGACCGTGGTCCTAAATAAAAATACCGGTCTTGTTTTATCATTATATTAAATATAAGAGTATTATATAAACAATATAAAATTAATTATGAATAATATAGTAATTAATACAAATATTTAATTTAAATAAATGCTTATGTCTTTGTTTGTAGAACTTCCATGGAAGGAATTAGAAGAGGGACTTAATGGAGGCGGTAGATCTATTCCATTCTTTAACCAAGAGCCTATACACATCAAAGCTTGTATTGTTTTGTTTGAAAGCCTATTCCTTTTTTAGTGACAAGATCTCCTGCTTTCGAAAATATTTGTTCACAGGGGACAGATGTTGCCTGAATTGCTAAAATATTTCTAGCTGTAATGAGAAGACTGGAAATCTATATAATAAACTATATTGACTATTTAAAAAATATAAAAGACATTTCACTATTGGCTTTCCACCATACTAATATGTCATCCTTTAATGAAACAAGAGGTTCATTCAAATAGGTGTGAAGTTCTGATATATTTTCTTCAATGATTTCTGCCGATATATAATCCCCTTCTGAATTTCTTTTTTGGGATAAAATTCTTTCTAAAATACTTAATTCATTGATTTCCTCCTGGCACAAATGTTTGAAAATTAGGATTTAATAAATAAATATTAAAAATATACCTGAGAATTAGTGTTGTTAAACGGCTCGTTTTGAGCCGATTTTAAAACGGCTAACTCAATATTTCATCGATGTATTACGCAAGTCTGAAGTTTTGTTTATAGAAGGAACAAAGGATCTATTAGCGAGATCTCAAGGCTTAGGCAATATTTTCTGGCTAAAATATTGAGTTAGCCGTTTTAAAATCGGCTCAAAACAAGCGTTTACACCTACTGGACCATTTTTCCTGTATTTTTATTTATTATTTTCCTTAGAAAATTTGGTCATATACTCAATTCTATTAAGAGTATTAGGCATGTAAACTTGTTTTAATCTCGGATCCAATAATGATGAGACATATGATTCATAGCAAAATAATTCTTTGAGATATTTCTGCATTTTAACCAGCATGTTATTAAGAATTTCTTTCTTGTATTGTTATTATCCTTTTTTATATTATTTAAAATTTCATTATTTATATTCTCCATATATAACATGGAAATCCCAACTGTAGGATATTCATGGAATCCTGACTGTAGGATATCAAGATGCTGGTTAATTAATAGAAGGGCCTTAGAAAATCTACAGCCTCTTTAAGGTCTTCTTTTTCACATTCAGTAAAGAAAACCCCTTTAAATTGTTTGTAATTCAAAAAAAGTACTTCTTCTATAGCATCCATGTTCTAAAAATTAAATATTTTTTAAAAATAATTGGATAAAAATGTAAACACCTCATAAATTGTATTCATCATTAAATAGGAGCTATTCCATCTAATAGGGATATCAGAAGGGATTTTAAATTTTGTAATACCCTTATTTTCACATATTTGTACATATGCTTGATTTATTTTGGGTGAATTATTTATAGAAAAGGCTATGTCTCTACACTTTTCTAGGATAGTTGTAATATATGATAAACCTTCCTGAGATATTAGGTTTAGAATATGGGCACAGCATCTAAAGCCTTTAAATTTTTGTTCCTTATAAATATTCTGCAAAATATATATGCTTTTTAGGATGTTATTGGCATTATCTGTAGTATAGGCCAGTATATTCTCCTCCAATCGATATACATCAATTACTTATTTTATAGCTAAGGATATTTCTTCAGAAGTATGAGGAAATGGGATATGATTTATATCAAGTAAAATATATTTTAATGTAAAAGAAGAATCAATATAGTGTGCAGGCAGTAATGGCTATAAATGAAATTTTATTTATATTGCTCCACATATCTGTGGTAAAGCTTATTAAAGAATTATTTTTATTTAAAATATCTTTTAGAGAATATCTTAGTTTCTCAAAATTAGCTGTATAAAAATTTTTAACTTTGTTTTTTGACCAAATTGTAGCAGTTGAGTTTAAATATTTGATTAAATTATGAAGACCTGAACTTTCAAAAGTCTTCATTGGCAGAGAGTCCATTATTACCCATTTTTTAATGAGTTGGTTCATATGATCTGTTTGGAATTTATCCAATGGTATTGAAGAAAGTGATTTTGTACTTGTGGAGGGCATATTTAAATTAAGAGTAGATTGTGTTTTTGAGATATTTTCATTTTGATTATTAGAAGTATAAATTTTATGTTTTATCAAATGTCTGCTTAAGGTACCTAATTATTTCATTAAGAATAAGGTTAAATTATTTTGACAATGAATTATTCAGACAGTTTCTTAAGAAAAAATAGATATATAAATAATAACCAAAATATTTTAATAATAATACTGCTTATTTTGAATAATTTATTGCTTAAAAAATTACAAACAATTATTTTGTTACTTGTTGCTGACGATATGTTAAATTTGGTACTACAGTGAACTCATATTCTATGTTTTTTATTAGGACTATAAGTAAAATGTTTCTAGGACAAACTTATGGTTTTCATATTGTAAAAAAAAAATTAACAAAATCTAAAATAACTCCTCTAGAAAAATATCATAAAATAAAATATACAAAAAAATTATATTAATTGAATAGTAAAGTAAACTTAAATATTAATAAAAGACCGGTCCGGACCGTAAAAATAAAAAGACGGTCCGGACCACGGTCCTCAACAAAAAGATCGGTCCGACAATCGGTCCGGTCCCGGTCTAAGACCAATAGAACCGGACCGTTGAATTATCTACGTATTAAAATTTAAACATACTATAATTAATCGATATTCGCTAGTATGGAGATCATATGATCTGCCAAAATAATTGTTTCTACTAAATTTTAGGATAAGTTTATACCTTTTTCTTATAGGACTCCATTTAGGTTTAATTTGGTGGAATTAGAAAACCGACAAAAAGTCGAAGGTAATCGGACCCGATAACTTCCAAGGGGATCACCTTTTTTATTTTGATTTTTTACTTAGGTCGATTTCACCTTGTAAACTTTAATTTTTAAAAAAAAAAAAAATGTTTATCAAAGTAAGTTTATTTTTACATTCGTCACTTAATTTGCATTGATTGAGCACTAATCGTTTTAGGGAAATATTTTTGAGCAAACAAGATTTCAGGAGCGAAATTCCTTTGTCGCCTATGGAATTGTCGCTAAGGTTCAAAGAACGCAATTGACATAGAGGGTGAGACTAAAAGATGATAGGAAAAAAAACAGATTTTATTTTATGATCAATGTTTTTTCTTTCTTTTTCTCGCTTCCCTCCTTTTCCTAAATATTCATTTTAAAAAAATAAATAAAACTTTTAACATTTCTGAAATATACCATATAATAGTCCAAATGGGCCATGGATTTGAAGCTTAGTTGACATTTCACCAAGACTAATCGAGAAACGCAACCGAATTTGACTCGGTTGATAAGATTGTCCGAATTTTCGATATTAAGCATCCTATTAGCATTAATTCCTTCTAATTTATCGGTACCTTCTTGAGGTACAGTCATTCCAGAATGGTTATCATTAGTCGAAGCAGGATGATCAATTAATCCCGAGTCCTCCGAGCTCCCCTGGACAAAAAGAAAATGTCCGTTAATCTTGTCAACTCGACCGCGGGTATTTGATTCGTTGAATGTTGGCGATTCAAGGTCATCCTCAACAAAGCCATCAAAATGTCGGTAGTTTTGGTCACCGTTGTCGTACCCTTCCGATTTATTGCCACACTCGCGTGTTTGACTCGTATCGCTATCGCCAATATCAGCAGGATCACCTTCAGTGTGACCCTTAATTATGGCAACCTTTTGGGGCCCAGTCCATCCCTTTAATTTGTCCGTATCCTCTCTGTCACCTTGGTCTATATCAAGACTCGGGTCAGATTCGGTATCGATAGAAAGGAGAGAGTTATCGGGATCAAAATCGCTAAGAAAACTATCATTAAAAGGTGGGGGCGATTTAAGGCACATATGAATGCTGTCCTTGAATGAAAAGGGCACTTCCTTCACTTTATTGGAGGAATGATCAGATAGCGATAACGTGTGCGGTTTGTGGTGTACGGATATATAGTCCGTATACTTCAAATTCATTTCGTTGACGTTACTCATATCGTTTTCACGATTAGTTCCCGCGATTTCCTCAGCATGAATATTTAGTGGATGCGATACAGTCGTGTCTATAAAAGATTCGTCATCTATAATTAAATTTGTTGTGATTGCGTTAGACTTTGACTCCGGATCTGCCTTGGAATGCCTCGTGTAAAGGAGATCAGTGAAAGAAATGTCATTGTCATAGCTAGCAGGTAAATGGGGTGAAGATGGATTAACCTCTAAAAAATCATCTTCTCTAGCAGATGAATTATTCGACGAATTGATAGGCTCCCATTCTCTATCGTACATTTGGAAATCGGGTAAAATCGATGTGTCTTTTTTGCATTCTTCTTTATTCGCTGCACTCGGTTCGAGATCAGCCTGATGAGCCGTGGCACTAATCGGTGAATCTTGATTCGGGTCAACGACACCACCTTCATCCATCGTAATACCTTCCGAGGAATAATTAAAGGTGTTGTTCGCTTGATGGGCACTGTCGCCAAGACTTGAAGAAGTCGCTTGGTTGAAATTGATCCTGCATATTTGAAATAGGAGTGCCGAACAAAGTTCCTTGAATCCCATATCCTGATTTCGAATATGTTATAGATATTATTTTTGCCTTAATTCGGTTTTTCTCTTTTTTTAAAAATATAAAACATGTCACACCCAACACCAGGTGCACCCTTCCCCTACAATATCTTTTGTAGCTACCTGTTTCTATTTTATGGAAAGTTTAGGAAAAAAAGTGCTAGTTGCGTCTTAGTTATAATTATATTAAATATTAAAAATGATGATATGCTGAGCTAATATTATGCGCCGCAAATTATGAGAGATCCTTTAAAATAAGTAATTGGTAATTCAAAAATCCCAATCGATTCCAAATCATCTAAATTAATCAAAAAAAATTCATAAGCGCATAAATTAAATATATTCTTAATATTGTAAATTTATAAAAATATATTTTTTTGAAGAGTATATTATATAATATATATTTGACTTTAAACCATATTGTTTTCGTCAATCAACTGTGAAAATTTAAATCAACAATTGCATAACTACACGTAAAATTTAAATTATCATGTCCTGAAAATAATCATACGTGAAATTATAATTTTAGAAAAGCAGCCCTTTATCTGCTAGCAGCCACTTTGTCAGCTTCTTTTTAAAACATATTTTTCGAGATTTTGAACAGTAAATTAGGTAAAAATCTATGTTGTTATGAATAAAATTTTGTAATCCACAAATCAAGTATTAAAATATCATCCATATTCCCATTTCTCATTAAACTAATAATTAATATCCTACTCTTTATTCTATAAGGATTTTAAGAAAATAAATGTTGCAACGCAAATTAACATCTTAGAACAAGCTGATTTTGGCTTAAACATTCATAAGGTAGTCTTGTAATATAAACATAGAACAGAAGTTCAGTTCCCGATTCTTTCAAAAAGTAAAAAATAATGACTTTTAAAATGAGAATGAAATAAATTTACGGATGGATCAAAGATAATATTTATTTTTTTAAAAAAAAATAAAAGTTATAACATAAATAAAACTTGAATAGGATTGAAGGATAGGTCAAAATGTGTGACATTGCTCCTATTACCCCCGACTTGTCTATCATCGTTAATGACAGTCTCATTCGGGTTATTCTTGTCGCGGCTCAAAAGCTCCCTGAGGATCAAAATATCTCTCAGGACCAGCCTATTGCTCTTGAGGTAAAGGTTGCGCAACACGTGATTCCCTTTGAGCCCGCTAACTATTCGATAAATTATGTTAAAGGTAAAGCAATAAATTACTATTAAATTTCACTAATCATTTCATTTATCATAAAGATAACATATTTTTTGCGAAAAATGTAAGAAATGACAAAGGATATTATTGGCTTCGAGTTCTGAGAAGGCAGTCCCTCAACTGTTATAATTTCCTTCTTGAATATCAGTGCTAATTGTTCCTTAGCCTACTTTTCTTCCCTCATCTTTTCATATTAGAAAGTTAACATCCGATGGAGGTATGAGATGCATTTATGTTATTGAAATCTAAGGGGTAACTTGAGGGTACTTTAGTCAACAATCATTAGCTTAAAGGGGTGGGGGAATCTAGAAGACTCTATGTATAGCCCAAAGAAATGAAAAATTTTACAATTTTAACTTGGATAATTCTCTCATTCTTACGAGACAAAAAAAATTCTTCAAACAATCAAATTTCAAGAATTTTTTAACAATAAAAAATAAATTCAGAAATATGAATGGTAGGAAACGAGAAGGGGTACCTAGAAGGAAGGTGATTACCTAGAACATTATTAAAAATGGGTCCTACTTTGGAAAATTCACAAGATATGGTTTTGGAGAAGGACGAATATTTTGAGAAGAGAGAAATTTACCAATCAGTGTAAGGCAATTTGACATTAATAATAACGAGGATTCATGAGTTAAAATAGATTTAAAAAGCGCGCATTCGTTAAAGTTCCGCCATTGAAAGGTCGTCAAATAAAATTTTGCATTGACTACCGCTAACTTCAATGTACACTTTTAATAAATAAAAGCCATTCTTGGTTACGCCTGATTTAAGGTGTGGTATTTCCCAAAATCACGATAAATAGGTATAACTTATAAATCTGAAGCAAAACGATGAAAACGCTATATAACATTTTAAAAAATGTTGCAATGTATATTTCAAAAATTATCATCGATGTGAAGAATCATCTGATTTCGATAGCGTTAAATACCACGCCGTTCAAACAAATCGCGTTTACTATAAATGAGGCGTTACCATTAGTATTAACGAGATTGGACTAAGGCTCTTAAACTTAACATTGTAGGTGATGCTATATAATCTGATTTTTTAAATAATCAATCAAAATGGTTGTTTTAACTTTTGTTGGCGTCAAATTTTATAGACGTAGATTAAAGTGGAGCAAGCACTTGATTCTTTTAAATGTATTTGGTTTATAATATAACTTGTAAGCCAAAATAGTGTGGCCGGTCACACTACAAGACCTCATAAGTTAACATTATTAATATTGTTCAGAAAAGATTATTTAAATTGATTATTAATTCATGAAATTGAAACCTTTTATAAGGTACTAAACAAAATGTTACCGCTCATTTCTAGGCATGAACACCTACGAATCATCTAGTTGGTATATACAATATATCTTTTCTTATAAATATTTAGTTTACCAAATAAAAAATTTTTTTGTATAATTATATTTGAAAAATACACAAATATTACAATACCGCGTTTCCTTCTTTTTTTTACAGAGTAACGATAAAAGTAACGAGTATTTTTTTAAAGAAACTTAAAGTACTTGAAATAAACAAATTCAATTGCAAATTTTTTTTTATTAATACAATGTTATCAAAAGGATGTGCCAATGTTTATTAAAAAATGTATTTAATAATTTTTTAAGATCCTATAGGCTCCGTTAAAAACATTAATTTTTTTTAAACCTCTATCGAAAAACAGGAAATAAATCTCATAGAAAATTAAAAACGTAATCAAAACATTTATTTTTTATTTTCTAAATTTTTATATTTAACTTTAAACAAGTTTAGGAGGCATCCTAAAGTATCCTAAAGTACACGCAAATATCAATGTAGCGATTCAATTTTTAAAATTGTTATTATTTAAAACGAAAGAATGACTGAAAGAAGAAGAAAAAAACCTAGAAATGTCAGAGATTTCCCGCTTAAATTGCAATTCGAAAGATCCAAGGTGGTGATGGAATGGTTGAGCTTAACGGATCGGGCGAAAGGCAGGAAAGCGAATTGCATGAGATTAGAATTGCTACAATCCAGCGTTTCCAAGAAAGAACTCTAATTGGCATGAAGCAAAAAATAAAATCTCAAATTGGGCATCATTATCATTGAAAATAAAAAAATTGATAAAATAATTTTCCTATAAGAGACACTTTTCAATTTTTTCCCCTTATCCTTGTGGAATGGTCTACTCATTTCACATTCCGATATATTATAAGATTTTTAAAGTTCGAATCCCCAGGTATTTTTAACCCAGACTTTCTTCTTCTTTTGTTTTTTAGATTCCTAATTCAAAGATATATAGGGAGTGTAATGGATAAATATTATGAATTGACCACTGATCCAAAATACTTAAAAATTACCCATATGCTCTCACCCCTCGTTTACGAAGGTTATCGGCCGATATAGGTAGTTCGATATAATCGGTAAAATAGGTTCGGTACACTAGTGATCTGCATCGGGCTTAATTTTTAATAACAGGTCCAACCCGAAATTATTTATTTAATTTGTCCGGCACGGCCCAATTCCGAACGAAGTTTTTTTTATTTCCCAAAAACAAGACCCGAAATACAGCTAGCCGACTAGCCTTTATTTAAATAATATTGGGGCCTTAATTTTAAAATATTTCGATTTATTTCACAAAATTGGATATCAAATTTAAAAATTTTGATCCGGCCCGAATTTTTTCAACAAATATTAGACTCAATCCAGTTCGAACCGAAATTGCTTTTACAAAATAGGCTCAGCCCGCTGGGATTTGCAGATCACTAGTATCCACGTCTATTGCACATCATCGTCAAATCCTATAATTCTATAAAATATTCTTACAATCCCTTTTATAATCCTAAATCGAAAGCTGATTTTTAAACTTTTGCAACAAAAAAGACTGTCACATATTAACAGTTTGTAGTGTGTTGCTAAACGGCTCGATTTGAGCCGCTTTTAAAAAAAAAAGGCAAACTGAATATTTTAACCAAAAAAATATTGGCTAAGTCTCGAGATTTGACTAATATATGTCCAAACATTTGTGCCATATATGAGCAAAATCTTAAGGGTTGCGTAATGTTTATCTGGATAAAATATTGAGTTAGCCTACTGCTTATCTAAAATTTAAAAAAAACGAATCTTTAACGGCGGGTTTCCTATTCTCTCCTTTTTTCCCCCCATTTATTTATTTCTATTCTCGATTTATTAATTAAAATATATTTTATTTTATTTTATTCTATTCTATTTTTTTTTAGCCGAGTTTACTTTTCTAATCATATGGCAAAGAGACTTCCAGGTATATAAGTAGGCGTCCCTATTTCGACGTAGAACCAGATGCAAACAGCTTTCGTAATATTCGATGCTTTCCAGCAAATTCGAACATGCCTAAATAGATAAAAAAAATTAAGTAAAATGGCTATAAAAATTAAGCAGATGAATGGTCCATTCCGGTCTTAGCCCATCCTCGATCAGGTCTTAGAAATCAGGATCGCAGTTTTCAGACCGGAATATAGTAGAGTAATTTCTCTATTTTTAGCTAGCTTAAAAAAGGGGGCTAAAACTAATAGACGAAAACTATCATTTCAGCCTTGAGGTTTTTATTTAAAAATAGAGCTCAACTTTGAAGAAACGTCGTGTCTCAGTGCTTAGTAATATTTTTCTTAATTCGCATCTATCCATGATTCATTAATTCCTCCCTATTTTTGGCAATTATTTTATTAACCATAAATATTTATACGTTCGCAATAAAAAATAAATAGCCAATATCAATGTAATTATACAAGGAATGAGTGCTAAGTTTTTTCGTGCGAAATACACTTATAAAAACTGGATTTAAACCCGCTCATTTAGAGTTTTCATTTAAGGTTAAAATCTAAAATTTAATAATAAAAAAAAATAATGCGTTTTAGAAGAATAGATTTTAAAATGCGATGCTATAATATCCACAGGAAAAAATTTTTTAATAATTATTTATAAAATATTTTGGAGTATATTATTGTCAAATAAATATTACAGTAATAAACGAATATTACAGTAATAAACGAATATTTCAACATAGAATCGCAGTTTGAAAAAAGGAACGCGTTACTGTTACTTGTTGCCTTGTGAAAAAAGAGCGCGTTACTCGCTATTCCAAAAAAAATAACACGTTACTCATTATATTAAATATAATATATAAAATGAAAACCTATGAAAGAGGGGGGGGGGGATATAATATTTTCGCAAATTAGTGGCAATTTATTCGTTGAACTGAAAAAAATAATAGTGATTAGGATGCCATATTGTGGTATCTATGGGTCTACTAATTAAATGTAGTATTATTATTTCAAATTATTTTTTATATTAAATAAAATTTAATATTCACGTCACGCCAAAAAAATAAAATAAAACTCTTAATCTGAGTGAAATGGTTTATAATAAAATTTATAATTATTTTTAAAAAACCTTTCTTCAAAAAGTTATATAAATAAAATTATCTTATATTATTACACAAAAATTAAACTCGGTATGGTTTTAGCTAAAATAGGGCTATAGCCAATTTTTCAGCTAATGATTTATAATAAAATATGCACACTAATTTATGCCAGGATGTATTTTAGCAGTCATATAGTGCTTACTTACCTATACTGTGAAAAAAATTCGATCTTAACTTATAAGTTGATTAAAATATTTATGACAAAATTGTCCGAAATTAGGTGTGCACTATAACGCATGCTGAAATCAGTGGCATAAATGATGCTAAATTGACGATTCGCACATTTATATGTCCATCAATGCAAATCAGCTGTTGCCACGAAATCGGAATTTTATTTATAAATAAAGATATTAAATGGAAAACCAAAATGGCATGTCGACCGCTGATTTGTATTCGACGATGCTTCTAAATACAAAAATGAATAAATGTACCAGTCTAAGTAAAGTTTAAAGTATTAAATGTGATTGGTTGAAATATATTTCAAGCAGAATTAAATCAGAAATGTTATTTTTAAAAAAAGGTGCTCCATAAATGATTATATTTTTTAAAAAATTGGCTCTAGCCCTGAATTCGTAAATGCCCTACTACATTCGATATTTGAACTTATTTGGATAAGGATAATTTTTATTTGATTTTTGTAGTTTTTAAAAATAAAAACTCATTTTAAACTTTCTTTCTTTTTTTTCTTTAGAAAGTTATATAAAAATCAATGAAATTTACAAATAAAACTGAATTTATATCGTCTTATATCCTAACTAACAACCGATGGTTATCAACAATGATGAATATGTTTAAAAAACTGCGGTAAAAAATAAAATAAAATCAAATCTATTGAGAATTATAAATTATTTTTATTTTAATAATTTTGCCGCTTATTTATTTTGAAGAAGGATAATGGGTTAGAAAAATCTCCTAAGAGTTATGGATATCATTGTCAACCATATCGACAAAACTATATTAAGGTAGATTTACCTTAAAGATTCACCTTTTATCCGATGGAAGTCAACTTTGATTTATTCGAAAAAAAATCATAATTATTCCAGACCATAGCCAGAAATCCGTTCCGTATTGCGGACCAGGACCCCAGAACAGGATTTTCTAGAATGTTTATAAATTTTAATGCGAAACGGGAATTTTTTTATTTATTTACTTTACTTTCTTTTTTTAGATTTTGGATGATTTAATCACATTTTTATAATTGGTCCCCTGTTTCGCGTATTTAATAAATATACCGCACAATTATTAATAATTTCCGGGTGAATTGTTTTTTTCGATTTCCTAACTTGAAGTCAACTCTAAGGAAGAAAAACTGTGGAAATGCGAGCTTATTTTCCGCTGAAAACTCAGGGCTGGGCAACCTTGGTTAAAAAATTGGAAACGGGCCAGGCCGGGTACAAATTTATCAGGGCCAATCCGAGCTAAAGCTGAATTCCAACCGGGCCGAACCGAAAATTTTGTCATTTACAGACATCTAATCTTCTTTATTTATTTTTTTCTAAATAAGTGAAGTGTTGAAATTCGAAATAACTATTTTTTTACGGTTCTAAAAGTTAGATAATTATTTGGAAATAATTATCGTATCCAAAAATTAGAGAACAAAATAAAACCTTGCAAATTTAGAGGAATAAAAATATACAAAGATATCTACACCGCAGAATTCCGAAACTGGTATTTATTAAAACAAATCTCCAGTTTATGAGGAAAGCAACCACTGCAAATGACAAATTGTCTGATTCGATGTTCAAGCTCTTATCTGGAATCGTTTCATTTTCAAACGGAAATAACGAGCAAAAAAATCAAAATTATATGATATTTTATTAAATAATATGTTAAATTAAGGTTATGACCAATCGGTCATATCGTTATCTTGATATAAATTTTAAAAAAAATGTTGGACAATAGGTTTTTGTTTTCTTAAATAATAAACAATATTTAAATATACTTCATCATTTTTAAGAGCATTTTCCAAATCGATAGTCACAAACCGCACCCTATTTAAAACTTCTTCTAATGCCTCGACATGCTTACAATTGAGTTTTAAATCTTTGGTGAATATTTTATTTTTTTTTTAAAAATGCATATAAAGTATAATAGGGAAATGAGGAAGAGATATTTTTTTTAAAAAAGTTACTTTTAACTATATTTCCCCATCAAGTAATATGTTACAATTAAATTTTTCACATTGACAGTTAACTTATATCATCTATATAACTCATTATTTTTAATATAATTCTTATATTAATCACAAAATAATAAATAATAATTTTTATTATTAAAGGTGCGTGCGTCTAAAGTAAAAAAAAATGAATAAATGATTCTCGCATTTATACATTATGCGTAACTAGATTTCGTAAATTCTAATAATAAATTTTTTTTTAAATAATAAAATTTTGACTTAGGATGCACCTTAATACAAAAATAATAAAATATAATAGAACATATTTTAAATAACTGCTATTTTCAAAATTAAATCAAATGAAAATATATGACAAAAAAATATATATATTAAAACCACAATACTATTCGTTTTTTAAGAAAAAAAAAATTAAAATAAATATAGATTTTTAATAAATGTGTATTTGATTTTAAAACAAAATATTATTTTCAATAATAAATTCTAAAATGATGGACTCTATTTTGTTATATTATAAGTTTCTCGTGGGCTAAATATAATCGTTCAACAGGAGCGCTTTGATGGAAGTGTGAAAAGGAACAATAATTTTTTAATTAGGGAAATCATCGCACAGAGCAAAAAGAAAGATGTTATTAATTAATTTTATACTGGCTTTATTGTATGGAGTTGAATGCTGGATGCGCGAAAAGCAGAGAAAAAGGTTATGAGACGTAACGAAAATGAGAATGGGGATGCTGGATAAATCTAAGAAGGTGCATAATGAAGAATGAATTTATTGGAGAACTGTTGATGACCACTCTCATTCAGGCTAAGATGAAGGAAAGTAGACCCCGCTGATTTGGTCCTAATAGAAAGGAGAGAGGGGACTGGAAAGGACTAGAAGTTGGAGGTAAACATAGAAGAGGAAGCCCAAATTAAAAAAAAAATAAAAGGATGTGATAGTTAAAGACTCAGGAAGCGTAACCTCCTGAGGACATGGTGAATAAGCGTGAAGTACTATAATTAAGGGTGTTGAAAGAAAAATAACAAATTCGTATGAATGATAATATACAGGATCATTATCATTAATACATCAATGTTTATATTTGCATTCAGCAATATAATTTTGTCTTTATCATTTCAAAATTGTTGATACTTCTGAAGTGGTTGGTTTGATAATAATATATGATGTTGGGTGTCATATAATAATTATTAATATTAGCTTCTCAATTATTTTTAGTTTACTAAAAGTTTGTTCACAGGATAGTGGGTAAAAAGAAATAATGTAAGAAAATGTTCATATACTCTATAATATATATATAAGTTAGTATAAGGAAGTCCTATTCAAAAACATAAGTTGAATAATGAATTATTTGTATTTTATAATACAGAATGCATGCATATTACATCGATATTAGCATATTATTAAAACAAAATATTTATTGCACTTTGCAAATAATAAATTAAAATTAACTTCATAAACAAGATTTAATTACAAATTTAAATATAATCAAAAGTTTTAAATATTGCAAATTATTTTATTTTACTAAATGTCACATTTTTTTTTAAATCTCAAGGCTCCATGGGACTTTTCCCACTATGCTCATGAGTCAGTTTTCCCCTATATGATACAATATAACTTATTAGTTGTTTGTTGTTTTTGTAATATTTATTCTTCAATATGGCAACTGGTCCTACTATTCAAAAAGTTTGACCAATTTACTCTTACATCCAATTATGGTATAGCATCCCAATATCATTAATCAATGATTAGAATCTATAAACTATGAACCATGTTTATGAACTATTAATAGTTATTTTGAGAGCCCTCTAGACCCTCACCCAGCTAATGATGCTAATCCACATTGATTACAATATAAAGTGATTCAGTTATAAAATTGTTACTATGTATGGTAAAAGAGTAACCCCACCCTTTAAATTTCAATAAAATAATTTCATTGCTCATCCACTTGTTATATGATCTTAAGGCTTTTGAAAATCAATAAAGTCAATCAAATTGGTAAGTCAAGAATAACAAAAAATGTAAAATACTTTTCAAGTGAAGGCATGATAATCTTCCAATATGCTGGATAGGGAGTGCCTAAAATTAAAATGATAAATAGTTTTTCTTAAGATTTTATTTACCTTGATTTGCAATATAATTTCTAGTAAGGGCTTGATATCTAATTTTTTGCAAGCATTTTCATAAGCAATTAGAATTTCTTCATTTGTGTATTGTTTGTCTATAAAATTTAAAAAAAATTGTGTATTATAATTATAAAAAATATATGAATTTTTTATTAATTAGAGGAATAAAATTATAAACCATTTTTCCAGGGATTAGGGGGATCAATATATGCACTAACTATAGAATCATTGTTAGGAAATCTAACAACTTTTTTATTTGATTTAGAGATAGTATCGTTTAATAATAAATTTTCCATATTATGATACAATTCCTAGTCAACTTGGTCGTCTTTATCGCCTTTTTCCATAATTTAAAAATTAAAATATTGTCCATCACATTTTTAATTTTTTAAAACATATGATGAATTAAATATAAAACCCCACAAAAAAGTTAGTAAATTTTTTAATATATTTTTACCATAATATATTTCTCATTTTTCTAATAATAAATAACCCATTCAAATTTTCATAATGATAGAATAATAACATATCTCAATTAAAATTGTTTCCTTGTGCAAACAATTATAATCATCATCGATGGTTTCATTATATTCATCATCCTCAAAAGCTACAATGCTCTTAACAATCTTATTAAAGGACCTTCCTGTTCATTTTTATTTATTTAACAAATTAGAAGTTTTATATGTCATGATATTTTTACCCTAGTGTTGATATTCGTCGTAAAATTTACGACCTAATTTTCTATTCAGGCCTGCTCTGAACACGAACCCTGAGTAAGAGACCGTGGTTCAGGCCCAGGGTTGAGACCAAACCCCATTTATTTTTAGTTGCTTTTTTGTTGAACTTAGAAAATATTTATAAGATTTATTTATTAGGAGAACAAGCGTTCCCTCTCGATAGGTTAATGTAGGGCTTGGGGAGTCAGGAATATTTTTATATAAAATAATAATATGGGTATTCAATAAAAGTTGTTTTAAATTTATCTTAGTCGAGTAATCATAATTATTATTCTAGATGGGTGGGTCTAAGTTTTGAGGGGTTATGAATATTTTTAACAACATAAAATATTGATATTTTTGGTTCAAATAAAAGGTGTTTTAATTATATTTTGATTGTAATCATAATTATTTATTCTAAGTGGGCGGGGTTAGGTCTTGAGGGGTCAGAAATTTTTTTAGCAACGCAAAATATTGATATGGGCGTCAAATAAAAGGGAATTTAATTAAATCTTGATTGTAATCATAATTATTATTCGGAATACGGAATAAAGCGCATACGCCCTCTCAACGTTGTAGGTACAACAGAGCTAAGCTAGGTTTTCCTCATTTCCATCTAATTGGAAGATTTAAGTTAGATATAAAGTAATATATGAGGAGCCCTTCACACGTTTGTGGGCAAGCCGCAAGTACTTGTACGCATAATAGTTCATAAACTATTATTTAAACGTCTGTAGGCTGGAAAAGATAGGGAGGACCAAGAGAACAGCCCACACCCAAAACCTACGGTCCTATTTATTTTAAAAAAAAGGGGCGGGGAAGGTACTCTAGAAATAAAATTTAAAACCTAAAATAAGAAATATATGATTAAATAATATACAAAGTACAAATACAAAGTACAAATACAATCACTATCAGTTTATATCCATCCTTGAAGATAATTTCCATATTCATACTCAATATATTTTGCATTTAGGCAACATGCAGATTTTGATCATATGTTTGAATCGTAACGTTCTATCACTTCAAATTTTCCACCGGAAAAAGTGGGCGAGTCGAGGTCTTAAGGGGTCAGGAACATTTTTAACAACACAAAATTGACAAAACTAGTTTCGATAATCTCTGTGTTAATGAAAATATTTTATATATTTTTTAGTAAATTTAAAATAGGCCAAGGGCCAATTTAGTATACGACGATAAATTGTAGAATTTTTTAGATTTCCTTATAAAGAAAACTGTTGCTGCAAATTTAGCTAGAAGAAATCAATAATTTTAACTGCAATTCTTAAAATGTGTGAATATTGTATCATATTAGTAATATTCGTAATTCTAAACGTAATAGCTACAAATATAATATTTAACACATTGGACATGTCTTTTAAAAACTTTATTTTTGAAATTTTTTCCATAAAAAGATATAACACATAAATTTGATAATTACGTATATTAGTTCATAGGAAAAATTATTGATTATAAGTGACAGGATAAAAATTTTTAACTTTTATTTGATATTTATAATCATTTAAGTAAATATTAAAAAAAATATGCTCCATGAGATTTCAACATTTATAATACTAAAATTCTGATAACTGAGGATGTTATCGTCAGAAGAAATTAATTAAGTAATAAATATATCGAAAACATGTTGGATATATCATTTTTTCGTTTATTTATACTAAATTTAGATGTCATGCTAGAATTAGATAACTAAATTGAGGGATATATTGAATAAAAATGAGGATCTTCTGGCTTTGCATAGAATTATCAGATCCCTACTAGAAACGCTCAAAACTTAATGTTTTCCACTTTTATGGAGAGAAAATTACTTTATGAATGTAACCTCGGGAATTACATATGGTCTATCTTTAACTAATCCATATCGGCCTTCATTTTAAATCTTTCCTCTCATGAATACAACAACCCCCTACCGCGCATCCCCAGAAGACGATCTTAACTTAGTCATAGATACCTGGGACAAAAATCCTCAAACATCTCATCAGGCCATATTCCCATATACATTAAAGACTGGGATTCTTCACTTGTTGCCAGTTCCATTGATTACTGATTGCCATCTCACGAACATTCACCTTGAGATAACCCCAATTTAATCATTCTTAGAGCTAAAACTAACTAAAATAGCTTGGGACAATAGAAAGCCCCCCTCAGGTAGCTTTTTTTATAGACTTCTTAGAATATCTCTAGCACTGCGCCTAGCTGTGATACATAAATCTTTAAATTGCGTTATGTGTTGTATTGCAAAAGAATCCACAATAAATGTCCTCTCCCTATCCGAAATAATAAAATCCACGTGGATACCAACCCTGATACAAAGCAGTCAATAATATAATAATACAAGCTTAGGCTAATATACCTTCCACTTCCACCATTAACCAGTATATCTCTCTAGTCATAATTTTAAAAGAACTGATGTTTTAACATAATGCCTTGGCCTAACGGACTCAGCATAGCAATAAACAAATACTACGGCTGTGATTTTCATTTTTATGGTTACCAACATTGTGTGAATCTTTGTAGACAATGTTTTCCAATTGATTAAACACCTTGTAAAAAAAAATGACTATGGACACTGAAGATCCCAAAGAGAGGTTATAACCATAACATAGAATATGTTTAGAAATCCGTATCTAACTTCCATAGCATTCACTCCTCTTACAGATTACACCCAATTTTTAAAATATAGTCCTAACATTAGTCACCTCTTTAAGCTACTCCTTTAGAAACTTTATATGCACTCATAATTCTTATAATTATATAATATATGTTCTTTCATATTAACGGTTAGTTATTTTTTATCCTATGTTTAATTATTTAATATAAAACCATATACAGTCAAATCTGGAAATTGACAAACGTTGGGTCAGAAAAAAATTATTTTTTGGCAATCCGATTTTTCGCATATATAAGATTAATTATAATTTTTTGTTAATATTAGCTAATTTTGTGTTGTATATATATTCTAAGCATTTAACTATCAAATTGGCATCTTTAATTATTGCGTTTATTAAAAAAAAGATTAAAAATATTTTTTCCCAATTTATGTCTAATTTGAATTACCATATGCTTTAAAAAAATTTTTTATCCCAAATGGCGAAGATTTTCCGGTTCATTTTTTGGAAGAATATGACTTAACAAATGAAATGGAATTTTGATGTCTATGGATTCAAATATTCTTAACTCACTCTTTATCATGAATATGGTTATTCAAAACTCTAAAACAGATATTATATTAATTACTATATTACTATTACAATATCGGAAAGAGTAAGTTCCACTCATTTAGTTAAACTACAACTGGGTACAAGGTTTGTTGGTATCCTTGAGAAAAAAAATCGCCATAATTTTATGAAGGGTAGGCCTTCATTAAATTCACGTTCGCTCATTTTGGGCAGGTCTATGACCAACGTGCTAGATAAAGATAAGATAAATATAAGTTTAAGATAATCCCAAACAAATCAATTCATATAAAGATTTTTCTCCAAATTTTACACAATCAATAATTTTAGAGAAACATTTAATAAATATATATAAAAGAAAGATATTGCTTGTATTATATCTTTACAATGTGTGCGTATTTATATCTTTACAACATTTAATAAAAAGTCTTAAATTCAATTTTTTAAATAATTATAACAAAATTTTATATAGAAAGCTGGGCAACTTAAAAGTTCTAATAAGAAATATAATACTTACATTTTACTTTAAAATATGCTAAGATACTGCCTTTAATTTATGTAAGCAGACTTTGTTAAATAAATCAGAATTAATCAATAAAAAAAAAATCAAATGAGTGTATAGTTATATTCAATTTTATTCACTGAGAAATGTTTTTAACTTCTTGAAAACTTTTATTTAATTTATGAATCGAAAAATTATTACACATATTTTATTTTTCTTTATTTTTGAATATATAAACAGATAAATAATTTTTATAAAATTAATTAATTTGAAATAATTTTTAATGAATGTTTAAATAGGATTTCTACAATGACTTCAAACTTTCTAAATGATTTCTGGTTCTTCAAGTAAGCATATGCATACTGGATAAAGATGCCATATCCATTCATAACTTTGCTTTTGTTAGATAAATAATCAGGTTCAGGTATATCTTTTATAACATCATTCAAGTAATCACTTTCTTCACCATCATGCCTTCCTAGAATTAAATAAATCTTATTATTTATAAAAAAAAACTTTTCATTATTGGCTCTCCCTCTTTTATTGCAGATTGTGTGAAATTAATATTTTGTCTTTTTATAAATATCTGTAGCCACCTAGAATTATAAAAATTGTTGATATTTATAAAATTTAGAACCACCTCATCAAATGTTTTGCTGTAAATTCTATTTCTAGCATGGCAAGGTCTTTCAAGATGCAATTTGTGCTCCGTATCTATGCAATGGAAATGCCGCCTCTGTTTTAGTAAAGCTAATTTTCTTAGCCATTCTATTCTATAAATAAAATTTTCTAATAACAATTTATGCATAAAATAATACTAACGTGAAACGTAATAATTTAAATAAAAACCCTTGGTTTCAAGAATTTAAGGGATTGATCTAAATTCCAAATTTTTAAAATTATTTAATTCTAATGTTCAATTCAAAACCACCGCTTTACAATTATCGGATAAAAATAGCGTTGTTAACATATAAATGGA